TGATACTGGACACTCTCTGTAAAGAAGTGATGTGGCACTTGTGATGGAGGGACTAGATTAAGTAGTTTTTAAAATATTTTGAAACTCTATTAATATAACCAAAAGTTCTTAATGTTTTAGCTACAATAGTGCTACAGTGTTCAGAGAAATGTAAGATTAGAAGAAAAGGTAACGCCTAAGTCCCGAATACTGCTCATAGCTTGCAAATCCACTCCATTAATAAGGCCCGGCGCACACAAGCAGCACGCGTCAGTTTTCAGTCGCGTCGATTTGACGCTGCGTTCTGGCAGTACATTCATTTATATGAAGCAATTCACACGTGACGCAAATTTCGGCCCAGCGCACACGCGTAATTTTGTAATCGCGTCGATTTGACGCCGCGTTCTGGCAGTACATTCATTTATATGAAGCAATTCACACGTGACGCAGATTTTGGCGGCAACTTTGCGTCCTGTTAGCGTTTTAACAAATGAATACCAAAATGCGACTAGGACACAGCGTTTTAGCAATTACATATATTTATATGAAGCAATTTACACGTGAAACAAATTACAGCGTCAACTTCGCAGCAAGTTTGCGTTTTATAAAATGAACGCAGGTATTGCGCACATAGACATAGAAATATAGACTGCGGATCTCCCTAGCTTTCGGAGGAGTTGGCATCTCTTTTTAAATCTAAGTTGTGGAGGGTGAGGTTCTGGGGATCTGCGTTTTGAATGGTTGGCTCAGCTATATTTGAAAGAGAAATCAAGTCTTCAGAAAGTAACTCGACACTTGCTCCCTCCCTGGACGGAAAAAAATGGCTTTTGCACCACCCTACAAGAAAAAAATTAGATTTTGCCACCCTCCCCTCCCTTTCCGGAGTTAGTAATATTTAATATCGCAGTATAATTTGGAACACAACCAGTAGCCTCTATTAACAAAACGCATACATTTTCAACGATTTATGACTTTAAAAACAAAATAAAATGTGTCTGGCTACGTACAAGTTTTTTCACTGTAGAAGTCGATGTGTTAATGTTTTTGCCTATCCTGACTGATAACCTGGCTACGCCCATACAGAGAGTACAAGATGCTATTGCTTCCATGGTTTTCTTCGACCAGACGAGGGACTTTTTAATTTCTATACAGTTTGTTTTCAATGTTTTGATATTGGTTGATATTTGTGGTAGGGGGTGTTACCTTCGGAGAGGCGGGGTGCACCATCTACGGGGTACGTACCGAGGTGTACTTTGTAGAAAGTATGCCACATGGTTGTAGCATCTAGGAGTATGTCATAAGAATGTACCTTTCGAGGGTGCGACGCGTGGAAATACCTTTGTGCGGAGTGTAACTTATGGGTTGTTTCTGGCGGAGAGAAACAGCCATTGTCTATTGCTAACCCATAGTTCTCGAACTTCCTTCGACTATAAAAATGTCCCGTTGCTTTGGACGTGGACTTTACCACTTTTTCGAGAATCTCAGTTTACAATCGCCTAATAATAAACAGTATTTGAACTTAAATGGAACAATAGAATAAAGGATATTTGCTTCAGCGTCAACAGGTTGTACCAACTGTTTATAATCCTGCGTAGAGGTGGCCTTGTCTAACTGTATCTTACGTAAATATAATATTAATGCTCCCGAAATATTATGAATATTCTACTCCACTAAACTACTAAAACGTAACTAACTTATATGTATGAAAGCACAACCATAGACTACCATATTTTAGACCGTAAAGAGCTAACGATCATAAAGACACGTAGAGAAAACTCGCACGTTATTACTCAGAAATATTTCAAAAAGTTAAAAACCAAGCTGTCAGTGTCTCGTGAAATTTAGATCGCAATCACCTTTCAGTAAAAACTTGGAGCGATAAAAACAAATGTTCCACCATCCGCGTTGAATCGTTTTCCCTTCGGTTAAAGGTGGAGAGGACTATACATAGATAAAAGAATCTGCGTTTCTTTCTCCGCGCTCTGTTCACTCATCACGGAACCGTTCCTGCGCCCTTCTCACTGGGTCTTCCGGGTGCAAAACAAAGTCGACGCTCGTAAAATATTATGTAGGATAAGGAGGTCTTGGCTCTGAGCCACAATCAATGGCGATGCAGGAGTCTGGAAAGTTTATCCGACAAAAGAGCTTAACGTAGCTACCGTTGTCCCAAACTTCCGCTTTATAAATAAACTTCAACACGACTTCCATTCCGTTATTTCCAGTCTAAACGTCTAATACTATTGTCTAATTTTTACAAGTGCCCAATGTATCTGTCATTGTTTACGACAATCTTCGGTAGAGGCGTTGCGTTTCAAAATACAGATGTACCCTCACGAGCAAACTCGACTTCCTCTAGGGGAAAATGTGAGGTTGGCGAAAGGCCTCCTACCATTTAGTTTTTACCATTAACATTCGGTTTAACATTTATTTCAGTACTTGAAATAAATTTACTAAGTGGTGGGAGACTTTTCTTCTACGCCACTTTTTCCCCTAGCGGAAGCCGAGTTTGCTCGCGAGGGTACTACCATAGCAATTGTACTGTCATGGACCGAAGCACGCGGCATTCGCCGGGTATGGGTTAATATAGTAGAAATATACGTTTTAATATCTAAATTCTCTTACCTTAGGAGGCCATACCTCCATATTGGTTTGGATAATGAAAGTTCTACTATACTTAACTCTGCTCGCTCCTTAATACATCGCGCGGATCGCGATCACCGTTGAATAATCGACTCTCATTCGGCTTTATGCTTGCCTAAGAATCCTGGGCATTCTGATAGTGTGCAGGTAAAGCGTATAGGGGCACGGTAATAAATCGTCGGTTCCCAAGCACCCTAGGGGAATGAGCTGACGAAAATATAGCGGCGGCCCGCAAACTAGGAATTGTTAGTTACTGCAGCTCGACGTTAAATATATGACTCGGACGTCCATGAAGCGAATACCGGCGAACCCTATTCTCTAGTGGTGTGAAGCGGTAGGCTAGATCGAAAATTTGTCACTTTAAATTCAGCTATTCGAAGGAGCTTCGTTTCGTTATATGGGTCTCAATTGATCGCCCTGTTTTGAATAGTCGAATAAGTTTAGGTAATGTTAGCACCTGTTACCACCGTGGTGTTTGTGAATGTATTAAATACGGTTCGAGTACATTATCTACATGCTGATAGACGTAAACTATTCTAATCAAGGGCATGAAAACTATTATGATATCGATTTAGGTTCTTGAAATAGTTTCGATTCAATATCATAACTTATGAAGAATCTTTATTCTGAATAACTGAATAAATTATGAATAAATCATTGTATCATACTTCATTTCAATGATATATGTATCTGTAGTCCTTGTGTTTTAAAGAATTTGAATTGATTTTATGGTGTGAAAAAGCTTTTCTATTTAATAACATCAAAAAGAAAAATATCAACCGGTACCACAGAGAATTAGCCTCGATCTGAAAGGGTGGAAATGAAACCAATGCGATAAGGCTATCTCTCGGTATGTCCACTATGCAGCCTAGAGCCGTCTCTCTGTCGAGTGATTAATATCGTGACTCGCTGACGGCTAACTTTGTAACCCACGTATTCCTCCAACCGAGAAGGAAAAGGACATTTATTCCCTCGAAAAAGCAACATGGAATTATCGAAGAGTAACGATAAATTCTCTAAAGACACGAGGTGAAGAGAAGGTCCATTCCTTCGAGTCGTGCACCAAATGTACGACCCGTGTTTGGTTTCAGTTATTGGCATGGCTAAAGAATGGTCTACAGCAGTGATAGGCAACTCAGCGCCCGCCAAATTTTTTGCCCCCCGTGCAGGATTTTCCGCCATCTTGGATTCAGAAAAGTGCCGGAAAAATTTGGGAATTTATGGGACATCTAGTGGCGCCCATACCACTTTGGTGGCGAAAATTGAAACTAATTTCAGAACTTCTTCCAAAACTGAAAAGTTTTAGAATTAATTTTAGTTTTTATTGAAAAACGTTTTTTATTGAAAAATCGTAAGAAAATATAAAGGCACCATTTTCGCGTGGCCGACACAAGATCAGGTTGCTTCTATCTGTTTTGAATAAAAAGAAACATAAATGATTAAAGTCTCTTGACATTTAATTGTCACTGGAATCCTATTCGAACCGGGGAAATGAACCTAAATACTTTTCATTTTCAGAGGTGTCCCCAAATCACGGTCGCTCTAGGACGTAGTGTAGAGAGGAAATTCGTCCTCGACTGTAATTTGCACGGATCGCGGACCAAACTGCTGGAACATGAAAACGCTTGAGTGCGCCGCTACCCCTGTGAAAACGAAGGGTGGAGGATAAAATGTCATGCAGGCTGAAGCGCATTACCATACGCTACGACCGTGGAACATATATAAGACTGCCTGTTCGGACGGAGGGCCCAAATTAATTATTCTCTAACAACTTCGAATGAGATTTGCTCGTGCTCTTTGTCCGTATTCCGTCTGACTTCTCCTGTCCGTTTCTCGTTGCGACTTCATTGTGTTTCCAGCGATCATATGAGTCCCCATGCCACGACTTCTTGTTGGAAATAACCTCCTTACAGTGATAATGAAACATTCTTTAATCGTGCTCTATTTTTGCAGATATATCGATGAATTTTAAACGTCGTGAGTAGATTGTGGATGTGCAGGGTGTAAAAGAATTAATAGTCGCGGCTTCAGAAGGTGAATCTACACCCTCGGACCGATGGACATTTGTAAAAAGAATCTTGCAGCAAAATAGTTTATAACATTAAAAATTAATGTTAAATATTTTTCTTACGTCAACGTATTCTGCGGACTGGGAAAAAGAAAATATTTAAAAGAAACTATACGTCTCAAATGAACCGTTTGGTCAGAAAAATTGTTAAAGAATTCGCAGAGTTTGACGTAGAGGCATGGGCCTACCACTGTTCTGCCATTTATAAAGTGAACAATACAGCAATTGTTATGTGTCTATTGTATTTACAGAAAAATGTGATCCTTTCATATATTTGAACTGTTACACGTTTAATTTACAATTCCATGAGTTTTTAACACTGGTCATCACATTCAACGATGTAAGGGGGTGCGCATTCGCTATGTCTGACTCCGAAGGAATAGGCTGGCGTTGGTTTCGGTGGTTTAATATCATACACAGGACCTGGACTATGGCAAACGATTTTATAATCCCGTCTTGGTAGAATAGTATACTTCGGTGTACATTGTTTATCTGTGTAACTATAAGGGCCTGGTACGGGATCACATTTCAAAGGAGGTAACCGGATTCCCCTGCAAGGCGCAGAAAGTAATAACTTGGAATTAATGAAATCTGTTACATTTGCTTTAAAGAAAGACATTACTTCTTAAGATTACATTGGTAGTTCAATTCAAATACAGGAGTACATAAACGAGTTGCTGATAAGTTCGTATAGGTTTTTCAATTCTAATATTTTGAACATTGTTTTAAAAGTATATACACATTTGTCGAGAATTTGATTTCAAATTTCTCTTAAAAGTGTTCCAACGATTTTATTTTCTTTACAAAGAGTTTTAGCGTATTAATAATAACGCATAAATGGAGCATATAACACCATGGGCGTAGTCACGGGGAGGCAAAAATATTAACACATCGACTGCCACAGTGGAAAAGGTTGTACGTAGCCAGACACACTTTATTTTGTTTTTAAAGTCATAAATCGTTGAAAATGTGTACGTTTTGTTAATAGAGGCTGTTGGTCGTGTTTCAAATTATACTGCAATATTAAATATTATGCAAAAATTGTATAACTCTGGGAAGGGAGGGATGGGGCAAAATCAAATTTTTTCTTGTAAGATGGGGCAAAAGCCACTTTTTTCCATCCAGGGGGGCCAAGTGCCCCCCTGCCGCTCCTTGGCTACGCCCATGTATAACACTCGATTGCGCTGTTCCCACGTTGGGTGCCAATTGTAACACTTTAGTCGTCGAAACAGGAAAGGATTATGAGGGCACTAAATATTTCTCGATCCCAGGTCAATGTCACACAAACATTTCTACCAAGAAATAACCGAGACTTGATTATTGTAATTTATAAAGGAAGACTGGATTCGTAAAGTCTGTGACCCTAGGTTCGGTTGCTCCTGTCTGCCCGCAGGGTAAATCGTTTGAGATAAAACTAAGGTTTACTTCTCCCGTTGCAAATTGCTTGAGCAAAGTTTTTCTTTATTCGAAAATGCTCTTGCTAGCTGCTAATTAATTTCTCTGTTATTTGGCCGAATGTGGCCATTTTTATTCGGGTTTCTACTGATACGACCACCTAATTAGAGGCGAGATGCGTTTCATGACGCTGGTTGCTAGCGCCATACTAATTGTGAGTCGTACGTCTTCCGTTGCGTCTATCTGTTTTACGCGACATCATGCTAAAATTTCACACACGTAGACTATTCTAAAATGTTTATGGAACATGTGTTTCCATCTATCTTCCTTGGGTCTCCACTTGCAGCAACCTCCACGTGGTGAGACCTGGTAATCGGTGTTATCCTCGATAGTTTTGTAAATCGAGGATAATACCGAGCCAATGGCTGCAAACCCATTGTAAAATAATTGTAATGTATACCGAGTACTTATTATTTTTCTCGCGTAGTCCGCTACTTCCGGTCACTCTGCAATGTGCAGGTGATCGGCCGTATTGTAGGCCCCGAAAATCGGATTCCCTAACTAGCTATCCTATCCCTAGCGATACTATTGATGGCACACTTGCCAATACCAGCACTCATGCGACGAGAAGAAAATCACGTTTTATCTCGGTCGCTCTTCTTTTCAAAGTTTATTCTCGATAAAGCTCGATCTGATATTTATAGAAGTGCTACTTTTCCCCGTTATAAAATATCAGACGGACTCGAAATCCGAGTACACTTAAGCGGGGAAAAGTATAGCAATTTTAAGAAACTGTACCATTGGTAGTAATAAATGATTAATGAAATAATGTATAAGCAAAATAAAAATGGTGTTGCTTACATAAAAAAAGCTGGACCTTCTCTGGGAAGTTTTACGTAATAAGGTCCTGGTGTTGCACAGCTGCCTCTGTATTTAGTCCTGAATTTCAATGAAAATGCTGGATTTTTTGACGATGGTAATACATATTTCGGTCCAGGAGTACAAGAAGTACCTTTCCGAAAGAAAATATAATATATCAATTTCCGTAGTAAGGAGGTATGTAAACATAAGGACTTGTGACCGGTTGTTTAGGGTGGGGGGAATGTTCAGTGTTGCTGTTAATCAGCGATGTCCAAGTTTCAAGAGTTGGAACAAGTTCAGAATACCTTTAAAAAATTGAACTTGGAGTTTATTTAGGATTCTATTATTAATAATTGATTGCAAGAAATTATTCCCACAAACGAAAAGAATGACGATCTAAAGTGTTCGTTTAGGAAGATTATTCTTACAGCGTTATAGAGAATAAATAAAATGGTTCGATTTAAAAAGTTAAAATAACTTTCATATTTTTTTAAGTTAAAATCTGATTCTACACATAATTTTGCCCTTTAGAGTTGCTGTAAGTGGCTTGAAATTTGTGGATATCGTTAAGATGTATACCTTGTATACGTTTCATTCTCATACAGACTAATTTAATAATACAATTAAAGTACCGAAAGTCCGTCCAATTAATCCAAAAGAGAAACCTCCACGTTTCGGATCTGGTAGTAAATACTTTGGTCCTGGTATCTCACATCGTTTCGAAGGGAAAAATTGATTGCCAAATGAATATGCTGGATTTCGATATTTAGATATACAATGCTCTTGATAACCCACCAGTGTTTTAAGCTTATATTTAGGACCAGGGCCTAACAAAGAAATATATTACGTAGAGCTTAGTCTGAAATACATTCACTGACAAAAAGTAATATGTATTTAAAAAAATGGAGAAAATATTTTATTGTGTACATACCTCTAATACCACATATAGCAGTTACATTTTTTGGTGCTTTTACTTCTGATTGTTCTGGATTCTGTTTTGGTGGCATTTTTTTTTTTTTTTTTTTTTTTTACTTGATAATTTACATTTCTCCGAAAGTTAGACGTGTAGAATTTTGAAATATTATTTAAGCCAAATCATTTTAGGCATAAACAGTTGATTGATTACAATACCAATAGTCATGAATATGTCAGTAATTCGAAGAGTTTAAATACACAGTAAAGTTCAGCTTACAAGGAAAATATATCGAAGTGTCAATCACCGAGTTTGATAAAACTTAAGTGTAATGTAGTTCTCATAAAAAGATATTGCAGGTATTTTTTTATATCGCCAACTGTTTATGTTAAAGTGGGGCAAATCGCCCCTACAGTTGGAGCAGCGAAATCTATTTGGACGAATATCTCAGAAACTACTAAGGATAAAGTAATTGAAAATATTAGTATTTTTCTGTCCTTCGGTCTCACTCCATCCCTAGCATAAGACCGTGCAGTCTACTCATGCATACATGTTGTGTACTGCTTCCATTCTACATATATACATATATAGAGACTGCTTCCCGTGATACTCTTCCCGTTTAGTTCACATTTGGACAGCTCTTACACCGTTATACGGGTAGCTTTCGTCTAGATAAATCACTCCATTTGTAGCTGAAAGTACGTAGATTAATCCACGGTTATTGATAATAACAATAAACGACCAGAACACTGTTAAAATCGCAATTTAATCGCGGAGTACCACTATTTTTTCGACCGGTGGCGCCACCCGTGGCAAATCGCTGAAACTACTAGCCATATAATTGGCTAGTAGTTTCAGCGATTCGCCACGGATGGCGCCACCGGTCGAAAAAATAGTGGTACTCCGCGATTAAATTGCGATTTTAACAGTGTTCTGGTCGTTTATTGTTATTATTAATGACAGGGGATTAATCTACGTTCTTTAAGCTACACGTCGAGTGCTTGGTCAAGACGAATGCTGTTCATATAGCGATGTAAGACGTGTCCAAATGTATAGTAAATGAGGAGTGCTTGGCGAGTCCCAATGACAACAGGTGCAAACATTTATGTATTACTATTGCAGGGATGAAATACAATGGACTCTAACGCTATTGCCATGGTCGGGGCTATAGTGGAATAAAATCGCAGAATTGAGAGACTTCTCGGTGATAAGTTCTGTTGTCACAGGGCAAGTGCCTCACGTGACAATATGCTTAGTGGCAATATCGTTAGACTTCACTGTAAATGAAAAAGAAATAATTACAATCTTTTGCTTATAAATGACTTATAATTGACACCAAATACTTTAATAATGAGTATTATATAAATTATTCATTATTATTAATTTAACAACAATAGCTACTAAAATATTTGTTTTATTTAGATTGTCAATATAAAAACTTGTTGACACTTATAAGACAGAAGCGAACACTTTATAAAACGGTAGTACATTGTTTATGTTACAAACACAAGTAATGAGTACAGAATAACACATTCAGCACTATTTGTATCAAAGTGAATACCATATTTTCTGGCCTAATGGGCACTATCTGTATTAGTTTGAATACTAAGTATTCAAAAAAGTACATAGTTGCCAAAAATAACATAATTATTTTAATATGATACAATGACGTTTAATATGTTAATTAAAACTATATTAGACTGTTACTTTGCAACCCATTTCAAGTGTTAGGAACATTGCTATTAGTTGTACAATTTCTTGTACTAACTGTTCACTAGTTCGTGTTGAAAATAAAAACTCACGGACTCGTATAATATTTTTTGTATTAAGAAATTTTAAGATTGCTTTGGACAATTTCTTCCATGCTTCAGAAGTTGTTTCATAAAGAAGGATATATGGAACTGATTTATATTGTCCATGTGTTGCATATCCTGCCAAACAACTGCTAACTGCTCCACCTGAAATTAGAAAATTTGACATTTACATTTTGTGTTATAGATAACTTCCAAAGCAAATAAATAATATTAATGCGGGCAATGTCTCATGCGACGCATATACAGGGTGATCCTCACTGCGCAAACCAAAAACCGTGTCACTCTAAACAACGGCGTTATTACAGCCGTGCCGGCGTGTGTAGGTGTATCTGTCAACCGAACTTCACTGTCGGCTAAAGGCCTAGTCGGTGAATATGTTAAAATTCTTAATATAACCAATAATTACCAATTGCAAGCCCTATAGGTCCACCAAGAATACCAGACGCAGCTGTTGCTACTCCAACTAATGCTCCATACTTTACTGAACTGTGGATAGACACTTTCATTTTTTTAACACAATCAAGTTTTATAACTTCTTGTAACACATTTTCTTCTGAAAGATACATATTTGACATTTTAGTGTTAAAAAAATGTTGATATATACACCACGTTAAAGTGCTCTATGTGTAAATGACAATAATGTGACCAAGTGCCTTTACTCTTGAATGTCACCACCTCATTTACTTAGTTGTACTTTCGGGGAATCCTAAAACCATATACCTAAAACAGCCGCAAAAACCATAATATTGTGAAGGTGTTCTCTGTTGCAAATCTCACACGGAGCCATATATATGACAATAGATTATGCGGTCTTATGGGAGGGCGGAGGTCGACACAAGAGAGAGAGAACAATAGCGAGGGTCAATATCTCTCTTTCTAATAAACCTCTTGCTGGAGGAAATTTTCTGCAGCTGACTTGTAAACTCAGCTTACGCTAGGGAAACAAGTGGAATAAGAGTAAGGGCCGATTCCAGGTTAATTTAGAGGTGTTTAGAGGTCAGTGGTTATATATTTCGAGATATTAGGTTATTTACTAGTTATGAAGGTTTTATCAACATATGTATTTAATTAAAATAATTTAGTAATTACATGTTTAATTAAGCAATCGAAACATTAAGAAATCTACAATTTATTATTTTTGTATTTATAGATTGCAGAATTTGTTTTCAAAGTTAGTATAAAAATATGAGTACACAAAAAGGAAATTCAAATCGGTCAAGACCACAGAAGTATAAAAATCAAACTACTTTTAAAAATGACTTACATGACAAATCACTTAAAACAAAAATCATTAACAGCATAGAAGTTGTAGATGTATGTTGTCGATGTAAGCAAATAATTGAATGGAAAATTAAATATAAGAAATATAAGCCCTTAAAGATACCTTCAAAGTGCATAAGATGTGAACAAAAATCAGTAAAGCATGCATATCATAATATATGTTTACCTTGTGCAAAAGAAAATAAAATTTGTTCAAAGTGTGGCATTAAAAATGACATTGTCGAAGGAAAACCTAGCAAAGAAGAGTCTGTCAAGTTAGATGCAGAATTACAAAACCTTCTCAAAGAAATACCTGAACGAAAACGAAGAACATTAATACGTTATATAAACCACAATGGTATTATCAATAATTTAAATTATTCACTACTATAGAATCTTTTATTTAAGAACTTACTTTTTCAGCTGCAAGTCAAAAAAATAACTCGGGAAAAAATAAAAACCAAGGCAAGGAATATGAAGATGAAAAAAATATAGAAGAAGAAGACATATTAATTGCAGAGAGGACATACAAAGATGATTTATTATTTAAATTAAGATCATTAGTAATTAAGAAAAATTATGAGGATGGTTGTGACAATGGCGATTTAGATTCAGACTGAATTACATAAGAATAAAGTACTGTATACATTTTGTCATTTTAATTGTACTCTGTTCAGTATAATAATAATTACAACAAATCAAATAATCTATAAGAAAAAAAGTACAGAATTTCATCTGAGTTTATTATTTACATTTTTTTGCAATTGTTTATTCTGTTCTGGTGCATTCAGTGCATATATTGTGGACATTTTTTTTATTATGTCTTTTATTAAATAAATGTTAAACTGAATGTTAATTTGGCATAAATTCTAATAACTCCCGTGACCAAGTGGTAGGTCGCTCTTCCTCTATGCCACTTATTCCCCTAGTGGAAGTCGAGTTTGATCGTGAGGGTTTATTATTACCCAATTTTGCATTTTAAGATAAATAGATATTATAAAAAGTTAGAATTATATAACAAAGAATCTGTTTACGAATTTTCAAACATTTATTTTCTTAAAATTGTGTTACAATTAAGATTAGTATAATTCATAGATTTAAAAGTGATCGGGAATAGCAAAGAATTGACGAACCAATCAAAACTGGTTGGCTCAAGTCCAGTCTCTATTATATTGTCTCTAGGTACTCTAGAATCTAGAGTCTAGATCACTGTGACGTCTGGTGAGCAGACTCCACCATTGCAGCAAAAAGCGACCACAGGTGTGGTGTGACTATAAAATATATGTTTGTGGTTTAATAAGTACATAAGAAGCATAATAAACGTTGCATACAGTTGCGTGACAGTAATGTCGAAAATTTCTAATAAGTAAATATAAATTATTTTTTCTTCTAAAAAGTATAAGTATAGCAACTATTAATTTCGTTTCAATATACGTTCATTTTATTACCATTGCAACAATGACATCAGCTATAGAATCTATGGTAGTAGATGAAAAACAACTACCAGAAAAGCCCATTGATAGGGAAAAGGTATGTAATGTAATAAGCATTGGAGAAAATATGAATGCAAATCGTTTCTAAAATTCTTTTTTATCTTTCCATATGATCACTAGTTATTTAATTTCTAGACATGTCCACTTTTACTTCGAGTATTTTGCAATACAGGGAGACATCATAATATAATGGAATATAGTAGAGGCAATGTTCCTTCAAATGAACTCCAAATATACACATGGTAAAGTTTTGTAAGATATTCATAAGTTCATGAACTTTATTCATGTTCAATGTGGTACGAAATACATGTTTACTTTAAGGATCTAAAGTAATATAATTTTCACTTTGTTTATTAAAAGGATGGATGCAACGTTAAGAGAAATTACAGGATTGGTTAAAGAAGTAAATCCAGATGCTCGTAGTAAAGGAACATATTTTGATTTTTCATTAGTAACTCCAGAATTACGTAATTCTGGATATCGTATGCGTGAGATAGGTGTTACTTGTTCAGGACAAAAGGGTGCAGATGATAATAAAACACTTGCACAAGCCAGGTATGTATACATATATATATATTTTTTTTTTCTTGAACAAATCTCATTTTGGTAGCAAAGACTAATTTTGTTCATTAACATAATTATAGGTTTACCATTGGTGATTACCTAGACATTTCTATCACACCACCAAATCGACAACCAGCAATTAGACGTGGTGCATTGCGTCAGTACTAATTTAAGTGATAACAATATTACTTTTTCTACGTTATGTTAATAATCCATTAATTTTCCATCAACAAGTAGTATACAATGCAGCCATTATTATTACATGATTATACATGGTGATCCTCTCGCTATTTTATCATTTACGTTTATTGTATAGTGTCATACATGAGAAATATATAAATAATCTCATTTTTCAATTACACTTATTATACAAATGAATTTAACAGTTAAATTAATAACTCTTATTTTACCAACAGTAAAGTGCGCAATGTTTCTTCCCTCCTAAAAGATTCCTGTCCTAGCATGATAAATAAAGTGTTAGTAAATTACATTGATATATTATAAACCTATTAATATTGAGGTTCACAAATGGATTGTAATTTGCATGTAAAAATGAAAAAGGATATAAAATAGAGCTAGCCGTTAGTTACAAATTATTCCTGGGGACGTAGTGCATCGACGCAATCCTGCAAAACTCCAGAATTAGTAAAATTATTTATGCCTGTATTAACGCTGACCCTTATGGAGCGGCAACAATAACTGCACCAGGTTTCGATCGCATTTACCCAGCTGAACGGACATCATTTTTCTTCGTCACGCATTAGATTCGAAATTTAAAGAACGTAGATTACTACTTTCTAGCGGCTGAGAATCAGTAATTACAAGAACATTGTTAAAATCATATTTATTTGTAACGGTTCACACTGTATCCCATCATGCGTACCATGTTAGGTTCAATTTGAACAACACTTACAACGTTATACTAACAACTTTCGTCTTGACCAAGCATTCAATTTGTAGCTTAAAGAACGTAGATTAATCCCCTCTCATTGATAATAACAATAAACGACCAGAACAATGTCAAAATTGCATTTAATCGTGGGATACCACTATTTTGTGACCGGTGGCGCCACCCGTGGCGAATCGCTGAAACTGCTAGCCAATTATATGGCTAGCAGTTTCAGCAATTCGCCACGGATGGCGCCACCGGTCACAAAATAGTGGTACTCCGCGATTAAATGCGATTTGAACAGTGTTCTGGTCGTTTATTGTTATTGCCACTGACAGGAGATTAATCTACGTTCTTTCAGCTACAAGTTGAGTGCTTGGTCAAGACGAATCAGCCCTTATAGGGTACTAATCTACATTCTTTAAACTTCGAATGTAATGCATGACGAAGAAAAGTGTTGCCTGTTAAGTGGTTATGTAATTGCAACAGTTTTCGATCGGATTTACATTGCTAAACGAGCATCAGTTTTCCTCGTCTTGGATTACATTTGAAGTTTAAAGAACGCAGATTAGTACTCTTTGGCAGATGGGAACCAGTAATTACAAGAACATTGTTAAAATCTCAATTGTTTGCAACGGTTGACACTCTATCTCGCGATGCATACCCCGTTTAGTTCATTTTAAATAGCTCTTCCAACGTGCTATGGACAAGTTACGTCTTGATCAATCATTCAGTTTGAAGCTAAAAGAACATAGATTAATCTCCTGTCATTGAAAATAACAATAGACGACCAGAACACCGTTAAAATCGCATTTAAACGCGGAGTACCACTATTTTATGACCGGTGGCGCCATCCGTGGCGAATTGCTGAAACTGGTAGCCATATAATTGGTTAGTAGTTTCAGCGATTCGCCACGGATGGCGCCACTGGTAAAAAAAATAGTGGTACTCCGCGATTAAATGCGATTTTAACAGTGTTCTGGACACTTATTGTTATTATCAATGACAGGGGATTAATCTACGTTCTTCAAGCTATAAATGGAAGGCTTGGTCAAGACGGAAGCTATCAGTGTAACGTTGTAATCGTTGTCTAAAGTGAAGTAAATGGGGGACGCATGACGGGATACAGTGTAAACCGTTGCCAACAATTGTGATTTTAACAATGTTCTTGTAATTACTGGTTCCCATCTGCCAAAGAGTACTAATCTGCGTTCTTTAAATTTCGAATCTAATGCGTGACGAAGAAAAATGATGCCCGCTCAGCGGTGTAAATTGCGATCGAATCCTGTTGCAATTAAGGTTGCCGCTCCATAAGGGTTAGCGTTAATACAGGCATAAATAATTTTACTAATTCTGGGGTTCATTGCATGTAAAAATGAAAAAGTGTATAAAATAAAGCTACTTCAGATTTTTATTACACCACAAATATCGCATAAAAGATATTTCGTTATATTGACATTTGTAATAATTATGGATGTTGCGGGGAAATCCATATTATTGACATTATGGAACATGTAACAATATATCACTGTAACACTTAAAAAAGTTTTAAAGTTCCATTTATATCATTGTCCTGTGAAAATGTTCATACTTCCAGCAGCATTCATATTCCAATCAAAGAAGTTACAAAATAAGGAAAAGGAATCTAAAGTAATTTTCAGTAGTTCCATACATGTTTATCGCGAATAATTTTCTAAAACATTCAAAGTACTAGACATTTTCACACTTTGAATCATATCGATTTCTAAAATCATCCTAGTTCGATGTAATATAGAACGTGGTTTTATGAGATAGATTCGAAGTGCGCAGCCATTAGCTCGATATTGTCTTCAGTTTACAGTACTTCACCGAAGATAATACCGATTGCCCAGGCCTCACCACGAGGAGGTTGCTGCGAGTGGAGGCCCAAGGCAGGTAGATGGAATCACAAGTTCTACATCTACCCACCTTTCACAATAAACCTTATAAATAACTTAAATCTTAACTATGTAATACTATCGGTACTAAAATCCCTCGGCGGATGACTTCTTTCTTGAGCCTAAACCTATAAAAAACTAAGTTCCCTCGTCGGTTGTCTTCGTTCTTCAGCTTAGAACTAATATTATCTTAATATTCTAATTAATACGAATTAATGCTAGTAATACGAAATAACAAATTTAACGCAATGTAGTCGCTAATACTCAAACGAAAGAGATAGACGGAATGGAAAAAGTTCCATCGATCATTTCGTTTACGCACCTAATATACCAAGCCAAAAATTAATTCTACGATGAACCACGTTAAACTACAGTATGAACAAGTATCGCGATGAAAGTGTTGTCGCCAGAACCTGGTTTAAGAAAATAGGAAAGACGGGCGCAACCTCGCAAACCCGAATCCATCTCTCACTTTCCAGGCCCTTTGGGCTGGTCACCTACGTACCAGACCCGAGCACAGGTCATGACCAAGTATGGTAGTGCAAGCGAGATCCCCTGTAAAACAGAGTCCTTTTACGGAGCAGACTCCCGACTACTCCGTAGGCGGGTACGTTGTACCCAGGCGCGCACGAGCCTTTACTCCAAATCCTACTTACCAGGCAAAGACTAAACACGTCCGATATCTGGCTTCTCAATAGAAACCAGAGGGATCGGCAAACAGTCTTAGTGCACAGGCCCACTGCCCGTACCATAATAGGTACAGACCCACTGCCCATACCCCAAGTCTGTGTAGAGAAATCAACGAGCAAAATGAATTAATAATAACTTGGTATGCACAATGGCTGATCACAATTTAAGTCTATTAATAGATAGACTAAAATTAATAATAAACGATGTGATGATGAATATGAATATAACAATGAATATCGAATTATGATTTAAGTTTAACTTACAGTAACTTAACGCAGTGGTAGACGCACGCTTTGAAGATGTAGACGTTGATCGATGTCTTCTTTCGATGGAATAACTGTTTGGAAAAATATTTTTCATTATACAATACACATAGAATACATAATATGCACAGTAAATAAATCACAGTAAATAAATAAATAAATATCGAAGCCAATGGTTCTCGAACATCTGTAACATACAAGGGATTAGTAACAAGAGAGGGGACACAACAATATGCACAGTAAATAGATTAATAATATGCACAGTAAATAAATCACAGTATAGAAATCACAGTAAATAAATCACAGTAAATGAATCACAGTACATAAGAAGATAAATATCGAAGCCAATGGTTCTCGAACATCTGTAACATACAAGGGATTAGTAACAAGAGAGGGGACACAACAATATGCACAGTAAATAAATTGATGGTTGTCGAATGCCTGCAACAAACAATGGGTTAGTAACAAGAGAAAGGACGAGTATGAGACGCGCGACCACCCTCCGCGACGGTTCACGAGAAAGTGAGGAAGCAAGCACAGACCTGCACGGGATGGTACGACCTTGGTACACGGCGTACACGGCTAAGTCAATAAACTGGGTGACGCAACTCACTAGCGCGTTGGATCGACGGAGAGCACCGATACTCGGCACGCTCTACCGTACTCTCTCGCTCGCACACCTCCCTCCCATAGACCACCGAAATTCTTCGGCACGCGTCACACCGACGGAGAGCACCGATACCGCGGCTCGCTCTATCGCTCTCGCTCGCACGCCGTGACGTCACCCGATTCCCGGAATTCCGCGGCTACGAGATGGCTCATTACGGTAAGGCATTCCCGCAAGGAAAATTGTAATAAATGGGAATCACATAATATGAAACTTCTTCACCTCTTCTTGAACATTCTAATTTCATAGCCCTAAACTGAATATCTGAAAGTATTTCAGTGAATTGGTGTAAAAGATTTTACTACTTCCTGAAAGACTACTTGATAGCCTAAAAAACAGTGTGCCGATACAGGGTTTCGATTTATTTATGAAACTAATCTGACCAGTTGCTGCATTCTTTGACACTAATTTTCAAGAAAATAAAATTTATATATTTCACTTAATTTGACAGACACGTAGCTGAATATTAACATATGTTCATTGTTTAATTACTCGCAATAAATAAAATTTTTGTAAGTAAATAACGTGTAAGTAAATTCATATGTAAAAATTTACCAATTGCCAGAAGGTAATTGTTCGTGCGTATACAATAGGCAGTAAAACTATTCATACTCCCATATAAATTATAAATATATAAATGTTAATAAAAGCGGTGTATATATCCTCCCACATGTAGATTTGAAAAACTATTTACGAAACTACATCTATTCTGAATTTATCTGTTGGCAAGATGTTGGACTTCAAATATGTGCCATTATTTTACTTTAATTAGTAGTCATTAAAAACATTTTCATCTAGAAGTGTTCAGTCTGAATATAATGTTGGTTATAACTACTCTGAAGATAGTTTCTTAGATTATAAATTGTTTGTAATTTTTATTTTCGTATTTAATATATTTTTATGTTGTGTTGTGTATTGTAGTGTGCATGTTTTTATAGCACATTTTATATTTTGTATTATAAAAAATGGAGAATAAGGAAAATAAAGGAAAGTTATTAAGCTGTATGATAAAAGGTAATTGTGATCACAAATAATATTATTGTGTTCCGGGTAATATTAATCAATATCTTTGAATATTTTAAAATAAATTTTCTAATTAGTTTATAAATGTATTTAATTGAAAAATTTGTTTATTTTCTGCACCTCGTATCTAGGTCCTGGCCCAGTATATAAATTGCGAACTGTAGTTGGATATGAAGGTCATTGTTTATCTCGACATAGAAATCCTGCATATACTATGCGATGTCGTGCCAAACTAACTATGCCACGTGGTGGTCCTGGCCCACAATATAATGTTTCAAAACTAACAAATTATGGAGAGGATAAATCACCTGCATTTACAATAAGTGGTCGAGAAGTATATAGAAGTATATTTTTAATAATTAAAGATTTTACATAATTATAATAAATATAATATTTCTAATAATACACAATGTGAGATAACAATAAAAATAAAATAAACTTTTAATGTTTTCCTTAATCTTTTTGTCATTATTTTCTTTCGTTATTTTTTCTTTGTTTTACGTTTGCCTTTAATACTTTAACTTTACTTTCAGATTTTTTACAAATTATTTGAATCAAATTAAATATTATTTTATAGTTTATGTTCTTTTGCAACTTTTACTTGCTGTATGAAACTATTATTATGTGTCTCAAGCTGCAATACTTGCGAAACGTTGGGTTAGGTCGCAGTGAGAATTGTACATTTTTTTTCAGTTAGAGATTCAGGACCAGGACCAGGTGCTCATTACCCAGAATTATGTTTGCCAATGAATCATAGTCTTAGACCTCCAGCTTATAGCCTTAAATCTAGAGGTCAAACAAAAATTGGCGATAGTGGTCCTGGCCCAAATGCATACAGTTTGCCAACATGTATAGGGCCTAAAATTCCGGACAAAACAGCACAAGGTGCTTTTACCATGTATGTACATAAATTGTGGACTTCTTTTGTAACTGTATAATTGAGAAATCGGATAATTTAGATTTATTTTTCTTTGATTTTTTTTACGATTACAATTTAAAGGAAATAAAATGCACTGCACAAAAAGATCAGATTTGCCGCTTTCCGACCACGATGTTTCCCAACAGATGGCGTCATAAATTGATTTTATAAAGAATCAGTCTCATTGTTTAATCGCCGGACTGTGTATACTAAAGAACCTCAATTACATTTTTTTGTTACAGTGGTGGTTATCATAAACTCAGACATGACCATATTGGTCCTGGTCCAGCGCATTATGGAGATATAAAAATTGATGTTTCAAAACGTCGGTTTCCAGCATTTAGTTTGAAATGGAGGAATCCATTAACACAAATAGATTTTAGTCCAGGACCGCGTTATTACCCTCAATTTAATACTGGAAAAAAATCAGCTATGTATTCCTTTGGCATTAGACATAGTGAATGCGCAGGAGTACCTATCACAGATTTAGATGAAGAATAAAGTGTAAACGTTAAATCATTTATGTGATTGAAAAGTTATATAAATGTATTATATATTAAAAATAAAATGTCAATTTCTATGGTTCTTGAATGATTTTCTTTGTATGTATAATATCTGTTCAAGATTAAACTCGAAGGTAGGAGTTCGAAGGAGCACTTCCTCGTATTTGTATAACAATTAACAGTTTATTGGAAAAAAAGAGTGTATACAGATAAATATAATAACTGGTCATAAATAAATTAAGTGTCACAAATGATTACTTGACAAGTACTGCCAAAACGAATATTAAATACGGAATACCCGATAGTCTAATACTGTTTTAATAGAGAGAACCCTTTGCTAATTGTAAGTTTCTGCACAAAAGTTGGTCACGAATAGAAAGAGGCAATGGCTCGTTGCGGTTAATTAGTCGGTTAATTACACAAAAACACCAATACTGCAGATCCTCAGAATTAGTAAAATTATTTATGCATGTATTAACGCAGGTGCTTATGGAGCTGCAACCTTAATTGCAACAGATTTCGAGCGCATTTACACCGCTGAACGGGCATCATTTTTCTTCGTCACGCATTAGATTCGAAGTCGAAAGAACGTACATTAGTACTCTCTAGCGATTGGGATCCAGAAATTACAAGAACATTGTTAAAATTATAATTATTTGTACGGTTGACACTGTATCTCGTCGTGCGTACCCCGTTTAGTTCACTTTGGACAACTCCTCCAACATTATGCTGACAGCTTTCGTCTTGACCAAGCATTCAATTTAAAGCTGAAAGAACGTAGATTAATCCCCTGCCATTAACAATACCAATAAACGACCAGAACACTGTTAAAATCGCATTCAATCGCGGAATACCACTATTTTTTTTTACCGGTGGCGCCACCCGTGGCAATTCGCTCAAACTGCTAGCCAAATCATACCGACAGGTGAGTGAAAATTCCTGGTGGTGCAAAAATGCGAATATCTCAGTAATTAAGCGCTCAAAGTTAAGGTTGCTAGTCTTAAATTATTCCACACGATTCAATGCGTCGACCGAATGCAGCAGAACCCCAGAATTAGACAAATTATTTCTACTAGTGTTGATTCATATGTATGTAGTGGTGCCATAAATAATTCTTCCAATTATAGAGTTCTGCGATATTTGACCGATGTCCGGGATTGTCCGGAGTAATTTGAGACTAGCTGCGTTCATTTTAGGCGCCAAATTACTGAGATATTCGTATTTTTCCAACTGCAGAAATTTTCACTTACCTGTCGGTATAATTTGATTAGCAGTTTCAGCAATTTGCCACGGGTGGTGCTACCGGTAATAAAAATAGTGGTTTTGCGGGATTAAATTCAATTTTCACAGTGTTCTGGTCGTTTATTGTTATTAACAAAATATCGGGTTTAATCTACGTTCTTTAAGCTTCAAATTGAATGCTTGGTCAAGACGAAAGCTGTCAGCATAACGGTATAAGAACTGTCCAAAGTGAACTAAACGGCGTATGCCTGACGGTACTCACTAACAATCATTACAAACATGTGCGATTTTATCACTTGAAGCTTCAATATCAAATGTTGATGGGTCGATACTCACTCCATTCGATACGAGTACTTTTTTTCGATACTTATTTGGTATCGCGACCGTACGTATCGAAACAAAAGTATCGAGTAATGTACTCGTATTTACTTATATCGATTCATCCCTAGGTGTGGTCAATCCGTACGTCAGGTCTGCAACAGAATCTAGTAATCATTAATAGTATTATATATCATAATCTAGTAATATCTGTTGAGAACAGATTGGCTGGCAGGGTATACACAGTATAGATATAATACTTAATACGTGCTGCAGCCATCGTGATGTAAACGAGATGATGTGGTTTGTAACATTCCCATGTTTAGCGGTGTATTGTAATTGATTCCAGAAATCAAAGATGCCAGTGCGCATTTACCCTTACGATATTGAAAATTCACCACATAATTTTCGTGTAACGCCATCTGTATCAAGGAACGTAACCATTGAACTATAGTCTACGCGTCAATAAATTAGTGTATTTAACATAACCGATAGTAGCAGTTTGTCAATGAGAAATGGCAACAGAAGTTGATAGCTCATGTTTTCGTTTTTAGTGTCACATAGAAAGTGTAGTGTTTGAAAATAGGTAGGTGATATTTTATCATTTTTCAAAACGTTATCTTTGGTCATTTGGTTCCTTTGCACCTAAGCAAGCCTATAATAATTCACCAGTCAACAATATGTACATAATAAACATTAATGATTAAGAAAACAATTTTAAAAAATCACTTAAAATAATATATAATTACAATAATTCTTTATTATGACATTTGAATACATGTAACGTATAATTTAGTTTTAAATACGCAAGAATATATATATATAGTTTTGTAGGTTAAGTTGAATAAAGGCTGCGTTCAAGCGGACTCAACCGATACGCAACCGTTGAGTCATTTCACTAGATTTTAGGCTACACGGTACCTCTGACTTGTTAACAACTTCTTAACATGTTTAATGATCAATGAATAAAGAGTACTCTTTATTCATTGTTAGGGATCAATCGCCATGTTTTGTAGCGAAAATAAACTAAGTAGACTACCTTTGCTCAATGTGTTGTGATTCAATATGCCGGAGCCCAGTGCACCGACAAATGTAAACAACATAACGCATGTACGAGACACAATACATCCACAACGGCATTTCGCATACAAAACAACATACCATATTTTCCACATTTGTTTATTAGTATCTGTGACCCACAAATTTTTGTTCTTTATTTAATATTTTTTTATAACGTAATATCCAATAATACATATGAGTTATATATTTTATTTATTGTATACACTTTAAAGCTATCACTGAATTAAAAAATGTATACTTCAATACTTATTCGTAACATCTGAAAATATTCTTTCAATAAATTATTAGTGTATAACGGAATTATACTTTCAGCATAGTTTTCATTTGATCTAATTCTGCGCTTTGTTGTTAAATTATTTATTGGTTGCTCTAAATCGTCCATTAATATTTTAATTACATCTACATCCAACTCATTGTCCAGAGCAATTAGCAAAGCTGGAAGACAATATTGTTCACGCATGTTGTAACACAAGCTGCTACAAATGTATCATACTACCCCAAATGTCGTTCAGGAAATTAAAAGGACTGATCAGTGATGAATTCGCAACGATTGTCTCAACGGTTGACTCTGCTGAACGCAGCCGTTGTAATACCCTGATAACCAGTTTTGTACAAATTTCGAACTAATTGCCAGCAAATAATGACAAAAGTTCCCGAAAGAATTCCTTGCAGCCCGCTTACGAAGTTGCAACCATTCCATTATGCCACCAATTTTAATTGAGTCGTCGACAAAGTTTTAAACACATTACCCACTAGCGGACGTAATGCGATTTTTATTGTTAAATATCTCGTAAAAAATGTAGTGTTTAAATCTACGGTTCTACAGGCCGAGAAATTATCTTTCCGCCAAGTTTGATCAAAATCGGAGAGTAAAACATGGTACGGTTCCTGTGCAAGAACTTCCGTTAATGTTCGAAATTATGATTCAATAATTACTTATTTTCATTGTTCAAAGTAATGAAAAATAAGGATAAAATACTTTCTGTTTCAGAAATATTTGCCGAAGTCATTTTAGAATCATTAACAGGAATTGGCTGTTCTCAAGATGATTTTAACATTCTTGTATGCAATAGCAACTTCAGTACAAGCTAGAAGGATTTTGTTTCTAAAGACACATTTGCGTTGTTTATTTCAAGGAAATGCGACTACTTATCCATCAGTCATGTTTTATCATAACACACTGTTAGATTCATATAAAGGTAATATTCTTAAAATATTCTCACAGCTTAATGGTTATTAGGTAAGTTGGTTGAAAAAATGATATAATTTAAACATCTGGATGAACAATTTTTTAAAACAAATTAAAATTAATATAGAAAATAGTCAATATATCAGGTTGTGATTATTCTTAGTGTTATGGTTATTCTAATTTAATTGCCGGGCTGAAGTTTACTTTACCGGACCAAAAATTATTGACCTTTTTTCATATCTTCTGTTAATATTCAACGAGTAGAACCTAAAGATGCAACTTTTAAGTTTAGGAATCCACTGGTTCAAAAGTTATGCGTATGTGAAACCAAGTATTTTTAGCGTACATTACAGGTTATAAGTCGTTTTTGTCGTCATAATACGCTCAATTTAATGGCATCGTTGATGGAAGCGATCCGAAATCAATACATTTTTAAATAAGGTACGCAAAAGTCCAGAACATTTTAAACCTCACTTGTGCTTCTAACCATCACAGAATCAGTATTTTGCTTTGAGTATGCGGTTTTTTTTTTGCAAGCACATTTGAATTATCCCGTCAAAATCACCTCCCAGATACACTCCTTACGACCAGTGACACCATTCATTGGACGAATGTGGATAGAAACCAATATGGCGTTAATAAACTATAACCTGTAAAGTACGCTAAAAATACTTGGTTTTACATACGCATAACTTTTGAACCGGTCGTTTCTTAAACTTAAAACTTATATTTTTAAATTCCAATCGTTGAATACTACCAAGAGGTATAAAAGAAGTTAATCATTTTTGGTCCGGCAAAGTATAGTTTAATCAATTGCCGCACTATCAAATTGTTAAATGAGGTAACTACGTTACTGCAGAGCAAATTCGAAGGAAAGCCTTACGACTTTTTTAGGATGATGGAATGAAACTAATTCAACGGGAAAATATGAAATTATAAGATAAATATATATGTTGTCTGTTAGTCAATTACTTCAATTAATAAAAATATTATTAATTGAACTTATTTCAGTTTTATGAGAATGACTTTATTGAAACATTGAATCAATTGAATTCTTTTCAATTTAAAACTTTAATATATTTTACTTTTATACATAAGTAATTAAAATGTTTTAAATCGTATATGTAGTCAAGATCTATAGATTTTGAAAATACGAAATTGTATCTAAGGGTACTTATTTCTTTTTAAAATCTAATCTGAAATTCAGTGAAATTACCTATTTCTATTGTAGTTTTAATTTAGGTACATGATTCTTAATTTTATTTTTTCTAATTATGATACTTAATTGCATTATTTTCTAATTTATATTATCACGCGTTATCTGGTCTTCTTTGAGTTAAATATTTTCTCAATGATTGTACAATTTTATATTAATGAAACACATGGAGCATCAACTTTTTAAAATATTACAATTTTAAATAAATGATAGCACCCTTTAAATATTTATTTATTTAACTCTCCGAGTACTGGACTCGCGAGGCGTTCAAAGCCGGATAATTTCTGACTCACATCGATAGTTTCTTGGAATATATCTATCTTGTTCTTCTTCAATTGTCTTTCCAACTGGTATCCGTAGAGCCAGACTTCAAATTTGCTTGAAGGAATCCGGGAGTAGCAAAACTTATACTTAGCATCGGGCCAGCATCCTTCCATTGCATTTGTTTTGCGCCAGTAATTGGATCTATGAAGTTCTTGCTGTGGTTGACAGCTGATTATATCCTTGTCAATAATCGGTGATAATGGAAAATCCAGGTAAAATGTGAGTTTCAATCAACTCATTGAGAATATACGCTGATCTTCTGTTGTTTGGACAAATAACCATCCTAAGGACCGATTCCAGAGTCCCTCTACCAATCGGCCAGTATCATATTCTTCGGTCGAATTTGGGTTCGTCGCTTTGAATTTCCCATCGATTGTGCCCATTTAACTGCTTTTAGCTGATGACTTTCGGTTTCGATTCCAAGGCCCAAAACTCGAATTAATTTCAAATAATTCCAGTGTTCTTCAAGTTGTTCTTGATTAACCCTTTCACTGCGGTGCGCTCCAGCTCGAAGTATGTAATCAGAATATATTGGGCAAGAGCTGAATTGTACTGGTGGGAGAGCGAATTTGTGTGCGTGAAAGTACATTTGCAGGGGAAGCATTGAGCTATAAATTTATAATTTTGTTGAGCAATGTAAGTTTCTGTCCCATGCTTCGAGGGCGTCAGAAGCCCCCTTACCATTTCAATGTCAATACCCGACGTTACCGGTTCAGTGTGAAAAATATATCACCACGCTCTTGTGGCCAGAAGTAAAACTAAATAACTTATATACATATATTCCTACCACATAGTGTAATAAACATATGTCAGTGACTTCAGCGCGGGAAGGTTAACAGAGCTAGAGTGGTTAGTAGAAGGTAACAATTTGTTTGCCAGCCCGTGGGCGCGCTGAGTTTACGAGGTCACCGCCGCGGTGACCCCTCGCGCTGCCCCTGGGGCTGCCTGGGCTGAGTTGGGGGTATTGGGGGTACCACCCCTGTCGCGGCCAGCCCAGAATAAGACTAGGAAGATGGTGGAGTGCCGGTATGACGGCCGTCCCAGGGGGGAGTAGATGCCCCCCCCCCTACTTAGGAGAGTCCCATCCACCCCCCACTGGGGGAGGGACATGGGCGGGGCCGGTTACGGAGTTGTGCCTCGACGTTCCCGTGACCAGCTCTCACGCCCGAGACGGTCACCGGGGGAAAAAAAGGTAACAATTTGTTTAACCGTTTGTTTTGTCAGCTTGTGCCTTAGAACGGTTCAGAATTTCTGCAGCAATCTAATACATGCTATGTAAAAAGAATGCACAACATAGCCAAATACATGAAATCCAGAAAAATATAAAGCCATGTACCAACATGTGCTATGCGAAATGCTAAATTCAATTAGAATGCCACTTTAGAGTGGTATTTAGCAATATTTCTTTATATGCGCCTTAGGTATGCTTTGTATGAAGTGTTGCACATGTAGGAATACAACCTATAACATGCTATAATTTTCCCACACTGTACACAATACTTTTGGTTTTTGGTTTGTAAACAATTCTTGTAGCATAGAAATTAGCAGTAGGAACACTGGATGTATCAAGTAATATGCAAAAGGTATTTTAATACCATACAGAGATACTAAATTAAATTGGTCAGGAGAGTTCTGAAACAAAAAAGTTGTAATGAACATGTGTCTACAAACTAGTTATTAGATATATATATATATATATAAGGTAGAATGTGTATTGTTTTAAGATTGTTAACAATTTATGTGCAATTATGCAATAAAATATACTTGTTAATGTGTTGGATTTACACCGAAACAGCTGGTAGACACTTCTAATACCTTTACGAAAAGCTTAAGACGTTATTATTACCTACTAAAAAGTGATTACTATTAGTGTATGTATGTATACATGTAGACATGTGAATATTAAAAATTGTTTGTTCTTTTCTATGTTTCTCTCCACTCAGTTAAATTTGTATCTTTAACATGGGCATAAAAAGTTGATGTTTTTACTACTGTGATAGTTGTGTACAAGTTTCGAGCAAATTGTCAGCAGTAAATGACAAACTTTGTCTGAAAAACCTTAGTTATCTATTTCCGCACTTGACTTGGGTTTTGTAAAGTAAATTGGCAGAAAGTTTTGCAACATGACCTATGTCAAATTGTGGGCAAAACCAGAACAAGGTTTGCGCAAGCCAATTTGCTGCATACGTTGCTGCCAATGTGCGCGGAAGTTGTTTATAGCAAATCTTGCATCAAACTTGTAGCCATAACTTTATAATAGGCATTGGAGAAAATTTGGCTTTGCAGGTTTGGCTGACTGTGTCGCGGTACTAATAGGCCGCAGAACGCAATCTTGCTCGCGAGAAGTCATGCTGCGTATCATAAAAATCTAAACAAAACAGTATGTTTAAATTATATTTTTAATTTTTCATTGTATAATAACATGATTGTATTATTTAAAAAACATATTTCCAAGTAATAATTTATATGAATACTGTTAGAAAGTTGCACAATGTATAAGTAAAGAAATTTTAATATTGTCGAATAATTAGATTATGGATTATATATTTTGTAATTAATATACTATTATATTAATATGATTTTTAATTTTCAGATTAACATTTCTCTATTTATACGATATATATTTACATGTTCCATATTTATATAATTATCAATGTAAATTTTGACTTTTTGTACAGTGGACTCTAACTATAATGCCATGGTCGGGGCTGTAGGGGAGTAAAATGGCAATAAGTTCAGAGTTCCCTCCATGGTAAGTTTTATCGTCATAGCCTCTGCTTTAGCGTCTGCGTAAAAGCTGTGTTGCGCAACATGAGGTAGGAGAGCGAATTTGTGTGCTCAAAAGTACGCCTTGCGTGGCAATATAGTTAGAGTCCACTGTACTTCTATTCTCTTTATTGTATTTAATCGTACATAGATACTTATGATTTTATTTATTTAATCCTTTTGACATTTATACAAGTATTAATTTGGTATTATATTTATGTACTCATACATAGAAATACGAAATAAATGTAATATACAAGAATTGTTTGTCTTATCATTAATTTTGTAAGTTTATTATGTGCTTAATATTTTATATGTTTGTTATGTTACTGTAATAATAGGCAATCGAATTGTTTAAATGGACTTAAAGTTTCAGTAACAAGATAAAATTACTGTGCTTCAATGCTATTTCAATGTCTGTGTTACACAGTATTAATTCAAAAATTTCGAAAGTCCTGGCCTTGAAAATGTTTCCGTTTCTCAAGATTTAAATTTTACTCGTGTAATCACCATGATTTATACCTTAACCAGTGCTGCAATATGAAACCTGCTTAATTTTTTATTTTTTTAAATTCTTACGTATGGATTAGTGAGGTTTCGTTTATGAAAGTGAAACTATGGACAACAACATTCAGACAGGTTTAAATTATGTTTGCTGCGGTGTTACGGTAAAAGTTTTTTGTTCTTAAAATTTTTAAAGTTAATTTTATGATAAAACAGTGATTACAAGTAACGACAATTGTCTATTGTCTAATGAATCGTAGTTGTAGCTATTTAACAGTCTTAAACTACAGTTTAAAATTGTTAAAGGCGCTTAAAGGTAGACTACTCCCAGTTAACGAATTAACGTGTGGAGTCTTCGATAGTTTATACTGACTATAGTATATGTACATTCTACATATATACTTTGGATTACACAGGCCAATCGGAAAGGAAAACTTAAGCGTATATGTATAATATAAGGTCTTTTATTTTTGTAAAGATTAAGTTTAATTAAAGATTTCACTAATTGGGTAAAGTTTCAAGCATGTTCGAGATTTCAGTGTTATGGCTGAGCGTTCTTTCGGTTCAAATGTTGAAATAGAACTGTTATGAGATTGAGGGATAAGCTGAGGTTCTGGATCTGTGGTTGGGGTTAGCAGAGTCGCACGTGACACTCCCTCTCTTAAAAAATTTGATATTAAACTAATACACTTATTGAATTTAATTTGTTGTGCCAATTGAGTGTGCGATGAATGTATCTGGAACGTATGAGTATGTGTATAGTAACGTATAAATATTGATTTTATTACATACGTCTGATTTGCTACTAGTTCTGCCATTTCCTGTGTATTATTAACTAACGATTCGATCGTCCTCGCTTTCAATTTCCCAAGCGGCTGTCTGACTTGACGTCAGATTTGTCTGTGTACCTCACTAAAAAACTAATAAACGGTATTCCGTTGGAAAATACCCTCACGCCTTACTCACCGGTACCTGGTGATGCTTGCGACCCTGGTTCGTAACTCATAATGAGAGGCTATCTTTACAATCAGAATATTGGTTGTCTCAGACTTACGATAATGGAGCAACAGTTGGAATGTAACTAGCTGTAAAGTTTGATCTTTAGTTCACTTTTGACTCCTTGAATATGACGAAATCATTATTTCTATCAAATATTTTATTACATACGTTCACATTGTTCTCCATTTGAGATGTATATTTGTAATAAAGATTAAGTTATATTACAGAATATTCGTAGCATAGTATGTTTCTTTACAGCATATTACGCAGAGACTATATGCTGTGTAATAAGTATATTTTTTTTTTAAATTAAATGGATGGAAATTAGCCTAAAAGAGGGAATAAATATGTACACTTTGTAATGAATATAGCAATAGGTTTTTTTTTATTAAGATTACTTTCACATTTTTGCCAGTAAATTAAAGTTATTAATTAAAAACTGAAATTAAAAACTTGAAAATTGTAAAAGTCTCTTGTTGAAGACTGTATAGGTGATTCATTAATATTAGACACACACATATACGTAGCAAGGTTCAAAAGTTCTCTGCCTTTCTTATTTTGCGCATAATGGAAAAATATGAATAGCGAGGATACGAAGCCTAATATTTGAGACACCAATACCATCAGTATCATTCTTATGCGTTCCGTCTTTCATTTGTAAATGCAATGTAAATGTAACCTCCACGCGTAATGTCGAATTTAGAGGACGTAATATATGGCAATGCTTCATCTATATACTCAACTGTAAAGAAATGGGTAAAATTATTTAAAATGGGAATAGAAACTCTCAAAAAAATATTTTGAGATTGTAATGGCATATTGTTGATCAATTTCAAAGAGAAAAATAGGATGGTAAATGGAGAATATTATGCCAACTAAGAGGTACAGGAAACTGTGTTGAAGTATTTTGCAGACAAAGAGAAAAAGTATTTTTCTGAGGGTATAAATATGTTAATTTTCCGCTATAACAAATGTATTGCAATAAAGAGAGACTATATTGCAACATAACATACGTGTTTTATTTGTTCGGTATATTTTTATTGCTCAGTCCGAGGACTTTGGGACCTTACTACGTACATACTTAATATATGTAAATATGGTTAAGGGACAGTCAGAAATATTTTTATGTGTAAGATGTAATAAATTTTTCTTTATTATTTTAAGAATCAAAATACCCCACGGATGATTATGAAAACGAAGAGTTTATGACTTCTTGTCTGTGTAAAAATAAAGGTGATGCTAGATTAAAGGAATTGTTATGGTATCATGGTGATATGAGGTTATGCACTATATATCCTCAAGTATGCATTTAAGCAATACTAACACAAGAAAATTATTATATTCCCAATCTAGTATGATGATTTAATCATTTAATTAATTACTATTTCACTAGCAACAAGTTGATATTTCAAGTTGGTTAACGTATCAGTATGGCAGAACATTTTTCCCTTTACATACAACTAACTCGTGTGGGAATTCATTTCAACCAGAGTACAAAATTTATATTCTTGTTGAAGCCGATCTTGAAAGTTATAAACCTACCGCAACCACAAAAGCAACAAAGGTATTACTAACTTATTCTTGAAAATAATGGTTGTTATTTGTGTAACACTGTGCTTTTGATTTAACATTGCAATTGCAATATGTATGTTATTTTCGCGTATTTTTTAAGTGTTTTAAATAATGTTGAGCCTGCAATTAGCGATGCTACTAATGTGCTATAAAGAAGTTTCGTTTCGGTCTTTCTTGCAGTCAACGTGTGAATACTAATATTTGTAACATTTTAATGTATATAATAATTGAATATTTAATTTTCCATTGTTTTCAGTTCAACATGTTTTTTCCGATATATCCGATTCATATATTATATAATAAAATATCAGATCATCCATATTGCAATCATGTATCTAATTCAAATGATTAAATTATTAGCTGTTAACTCTTTTATTATAAATTTGATATAATAATACAGTAACAATTACTAGGTTCATAATATACGTACATCAAATTTTCCAGTATATAGTCACTATAATGAAAGAGTAAACTAATTTACCTTTTAGGTGGAAGATTATGGATTAATTATTTCATGGACAGCAAATAAAAATATCGATTTAATTATAGAAACAGATTTAGATACTGTTGTAAAATTTTTTATCGCATCTATGGAAGGACAGTGTTATATTAATAATGGTTTATTGCTGAAGCGTATACAAAGTAAGTACGGACTTTGATTATATAATCAAAACTTTAGGATTAAAGTTGTTTTCTGTGCTTTCAGCTGTCTTGATAACAGGGAAGCCTTGTTTTTATAACAACGATTTACTAAATACACCGCCAGCTAAAAGTAAGAACAAATTTTAAATAGACAATGAATAGGGATAGTAGATATAAGGTTGAAGTATGTGAATGTTGTAAATAATATTTGTAAAGTGCAAAATGTGACGTGATAGATGAAGCGAACTTCATCCCCTCATTTACCTGCGCAAGCAGGTAGTTCGAGGACTGGGGGCAGAGGTCGCCCTCCAAATCCCTTTCCGTTAAAGGGCGGGGAATGGGCGTGGTTGTTTTAGTCATCGGCTCCTCCTCCTTCGCGGATTCGTCCAGTATGCACGACCTCTTCGCCACGTTGTGCATTTAGGTTGGCTTTTATTTTACGAAATGAGCATCTCATTCAGCAGGTGGAGTTACTATTAACTCGTCCTACAATCAATCTTGGTCAGACAATATTTCAGTTATTCTGGATATACATATCTCGTTTCCTATACTTTCCTACTCGATGTGTTTATTTCCTATACGTCGCTTCACAACTTAATGACTGGACCAAAACCTTTCGAATCTTGTGAAGCATTGTTGTATGTTTTTAGTAAACAAATGTTATAAGAAAGGATGTTTAATAAAAATTCTACTTATTTTAATAAGAATTTATAGATGAAGCAGACTGGAAAGCGCACACAGAAAAATTAAGAATATTAAGTGACACTGCCAGAATAGCATCGGAGCAATGTAAATGTCTTGAAGTTGCGGAATATCCGAGTGTAGTAATATATCCAGACAATATTATGACAGAAACAGAAACGGAACGTTTACAAAGGGCGGCATCAAACGAAACATTAGGTAAAATTACAGGAATAGATATATCGGTAGAATTGCGGTCTATACTTTTCGATTTACATCTTATTATTATTTTCTACTTGTATTTCTACATTATACGGACAAATTTGATTAAAATTCAAGCGTATCGGTTGGGTGATGTCCCTTGTTGGAACGTCTTGTATCTTTTAAAATTAAATAATAATAAATACTAATTTCAGAAAGTGGAGGTAGAAGTCATGTTTCTACACAAGATTCTGTAAACATTCCACAACATGAAATTGATCTTTTGTTAGATGTAACAGACGTCGTCAATGACGATACCATTCAATATCACGAAGTATCACGTTCTGCTAGTAAATCACTCGACATGCTTGACACCTTAGAAGGGTCTGACACTAAAAAATCCAGACCAGTATCTTGTACTGATATCATAAGTACGAGTAAACATATTGAGCAGACAACTTTTTTCAGTATAAAGGATGCTCCAAATGTACCAACTAAAAGTAATTTCAAGTAAGTATTATATTGCTCGAGTAAGTGATAAGTATAGTAACATCAATAGTCGTGGCTAATCGTTAATAAATACTATTATTATCTATGAATATTGTTGTAAAACATCGGTTGTTGTTGGACTATAGCCATCAAATATAGTTGTGAAGCTATGTACCAACAACAAGCCAGCCTCGTAGTGTCTGTACGTAGCTTAACAAATCGAAAATTTGAAACCTTCTGAATAATTCTATGCATTGTAATAGGATAATTCTAGGAATTGTTTAATTGCAACAGGTGCATGTGATAGACTCATCTTTTTAAACGCCCGAGTAAATGTTAGATTAGGTTGAATGTTTAAAAAAGAAACTATAGCTTTGAAAAATAAAAGTAATTTATTAAGATGTTTTTTTAATGTGCCGTACCACTGCGCAACTATATACGTTTCAATGATTTCATTTCACAGAAATTCCATGGCGGAAGTAACAGAAAAATTGTCAACTAACAACGATAAACCACCAAATGTGTTGATACTTTCCGACAGTATCATAGCACTTAATAACGTAAAGGGTGTATTAGAAGAATCTCTTGGCACAGACAAGTATGTTTATTTTTGTAGTGTTTATTATTAAGAAAAAATTACATATATTTTCATATATCTGACATATTTTTTATGGAATCATTTTTGTGTGAACAGATACACTATTTATACGTTATCGTTCGAAGACGCACGTCATGACGCGTGGATAGAAAATGCGGCTTTAGTTGTTGTTTGTGGGAATGTTGGTACTGAAATTGGGAGTCAAATTGTTGAATATATCCTTCATGGTGGTAAACTTCTTGCTTTGTGCTCAGATGTACTTCACATTTTGCTTCCATCATTTAAAACTGCGGAAGTACGTGAAAATGAGCTTGTTCATTTTTCGTATGGCAAATGGAAACACGTACGGATGATGCACCATATTTTCTGCTATCAAGCATCTCCTATTCGAACAAGATTTTCTCAAGACCATGAGGATGTCAAGTAAGACTTTATATACATATTATTGTATTAGTTTAACCCCTTAATGTACACGTTCTTCACTTTACCGGTAGAAAATGATTCAAAATGATTCAGTGTTAGAAAGGCAATGTATATTTTTTTAGTACATATAAAGGACTTTCAAATACTCATAAACGCAATCTCGAATTCTACCCAAAATACAACTAGGAAAGAAATTTTATATAAAAAGTTTTCTTCCATGCATTATATTGTATCATAATAAATGTTGGTAATACATATTTAGGATGATTACTATGAGTGTTAATGTTTCAATAAATATTGATTTAGAGTGTCAAGCCTGTCTCCGCCTCCTTCAGCGAATGTAAAAGATAAGAGAGGAAATTCACATTTATTCGATGTGAAAGTACTTGGAACGGAAGAAACATGGCATACTCCAAGCATTTTACTTGCGAGCCTTACCGGAAATGCCGGTAAAATAATATTTTCTCAAATACATCTGGAAGTGGATCCAATGCAATATGAACTCGAAGAAGGCAAATTTAAAGCTCTGAAAGAAAGCAATACTGCCAGGCTAGAAATATTTAACGATCTCTTAAATGTGCATCTTGGAATAGAACTTCGTAAAACTCCGCAAGTACCTGTAACTTATACGCCAGCTTACTTCTTGGGTCGGCATGAGGTAAGGAAAATATTGCTCTTAAAGAATTATATTTAAAATATTTTTTATTTACGCGATTAAATAACAAAAATAAAAATAATAGGGCTTAATGCGTTATCAGGAGAAAATACTAGCCCATTTGAATAATTTTACGCATCAATAGGTAAATAAAATAAAGAAAATAGGGGGAAAAACCGGTAATTCGAATTTCCTCTTTAACTATCCTCCTGGTTGAGATAGATGATTGAAACGTGGTGTAGGTTATTTTTTTTATAAGGTAAGGTCTAAGGGCACATTTGACACTTCGATTTTTTTGGAAAACAATTGACAGTAGGTCCTTCATAGTTGCTTACAGTTTAAATACCTTACCTCGACGATGGTTCGAATTCAACTTGAAACGATAGTTTCACTTATAATGTTTTTTGAAATTGTAGGAAGGATGATTTGTCTGAAAATAATGTATTTTTTGTTACATTTTGCAGTTAAAGTTAGAAATGTTAGAAAGATTAAAAGACAAAATGGAATCAAATGATACTTTAAAATCAGTAAAATTGAAAATACAATTTTGCCGAAGTAGTACATCTGGACCATCAGCTTCAGCCTCATTTCTCCCAATTATGGTGCACCAGTGTCCTGATAATTTTTCGACGATCGAATATTTCGAGGTAATATTTTTTTTTAAGTACATAGTACTATAGTTTATAGTATTATACATATATTAAAATTAATTTGTACTTTTCTTCTCATTAATTAGTTCTCAGTTTGTTCTGAGCATTGTCTAAATAATTTTTTTCACAGAATTTAACCACGAAAGAATTAGGTCGATTAGTTATATATGCGGACGTCATGACATCATCAATGGACGTTACGGATGGTCATGATTTACAACATGGCTTAGCTGTTATTTGTCGTCAACAAACTCAAGGGCGTGGTCTGTATAGTTACATATTTACTTACAGTTAGATGCATTCCATAATAAACTCTCTGAGTATACTGATTTGAAGCGTTGAACATATAGAAATTAAATGTAAGATACGATATCCAGTGGAAGGAACGTAGTTACAAATTTGAATGGCATATCTTATACTTCCTGTAATTACAGAAAACGCAAGAAAAAATTTCAGTTTTTTCCTTTTACAAAAATAGACACACTCCATGAGAAAAGTTAACTCTTTCTAAACAGGGCAAACGCCGGAAACCTAGCAGTTAATTATTTCGTTAACTTTTACCATTTTAGCACCACAAATACATTCTATTTTTATAAAAAAAGATGGATCTGCAGTCAGTTTTAAATTATATGTTCAACCGGAATATTGGATACATCATAATAAATGAATTGTATATATGTTCACTTTAAGGGAGATCTAAGAACACGTGGCTCAGTCCTAAAGGATGTGCAATGTTTACTTTGCAAGTGCATGTTCCAACTAATACAATACTTGGACAACGTATCTCAATCATTCAACATTTGGTGTCTGTTGCGATTCTATCTGCAATTAAATCTCTACCTGGATACGAGGTTTGTTTTTACTGTTCCTTTATTATATAAAATTTGAATTAGTCGCACCATATATTCGATGCTGTAACATTGCACTTATTTTATAATAAAATTTAATTCTGGCGATGTGTAGGTAATTAAGAGATAGTAACATCTATTGTAGAAGAATTCTTTGTCAGAGTCGAGGAGTCTTCGAACACTTATTGAGAATTTACTGTATCGTAATCCAAACATTAATATTACTAATGTTTACTTTTTATAATAGGAAATTGATCTCAGACTAAAATGGCCTAATGATATATATGTTGGAAATCATGTTAAAATTGGCGGTTTGATTGTAACCACACAATTAACATTCAATTTAAACGTCTGTAATATTGGTAAGTAAAATTGTACTAAACTAATTGTAATTAGTCTTTTTCCTTGGATAATTTTAATCAGTATCTTCAGTATTTACTTTGATTAAATGTACATAACAGAAATGAAATAATATTAAGTAAATGTATTAGATGTCCCAGAAAATTCGCGCAGTTTTTCCCGAATGGTTATCTCAAGAGTTAGGCGTCCAACCGCTTTTTATATCTTTTATTGCTTTAACACATCGGATTGTTAGAGAAAGTCGGAATGTGTCAATTAGTATGAAGAACTCGTCCTCAGCGTATTATTTTAATATAGAATAACGTTGTCATTCACCTCTGATATCGATCTGAATCGTCGTATAGTTCTTGATATTTTCAGGTGTCGGAGTAAATTTATACAACAAGGAACCTACTTGTTGCATTAACGATATAATTAAAATGTTTAATAAAACTTATAATAAACAGTTGAAAACAATCTCGTACGAACAATATTTTGCCATTGTATTTAATGAAATTGAAAGGTGGATGAATATCGTACAAAGTGGAAATGCAGATGAATTTCTTGATGCTTATTACACGTATTGGATACATACGTAAGTTTCTGAAATTTTGTTTACTTATTTGGTAATCTATACACAAAAAGAATAACGAATAGACTGCGAATTTTTATGCAATATCTCACATTTTTTGTATGCTGTTCGTTTCGTGGAAGCTATTTAATAGCATTGTAAACACTTGCGAACCTAAGATATATCAGAGATCAATAATAGTCGTCCTTTTGAGGGCAGAAACTCTAATACTCAACAAGATTCACTTAGTTACTGACAGTTTATATAACTCGTTCTAATTGTGTGATGCATCCTGTATATGGCACAGCATTGAATGTTGATTATATTTTTACAGTGATCAGGAGGTGAAAATAGTATCACGGTCGGATGCGTCACAAAATGTTAAAATATTAGGTATTGATGAATACGGATATTTACGCGTCCGCGGGGATGACGGAAATATATTTACTGTTCACCCGGATGGCAATAGTTTTGATTGCCTTAAAGGTCTCATTGTTCCCAAATAATAGAAATCATACGTAAATATAATTTAAAGGTTCAGTCATTATTTATATATTATATCCATATTGCTCTCTTTTATTTTTATACATTATGTACATGTTCAGTAATTATGAAATGTAACCTAGTGAAGATAGTAGTTTTTTTACTTTCAATTAATTTTGCATTCAAACATAATAAATGAAACGTGTGAACTGTACTTAAGGTTTATTGATTTCCCGTTACGTAATCTTCAACACAGTACTCAACATCAAAAGGGAAGATTTTTACAATGAAGAATAAAATACGATAGAAGTAAGGATTTTGTACTTATTTATTCAATGTTAATAAAGTTTGAGGTTTTTTTTACAAAAGTTTAATTAAGGTCATAGTAAACTTGATTGATTGGCACCAGAATATAAAATTGTATTTAAAAAATGAGAAACATTATACTTAATACCTCACTATTCTATGGACTAATATGTATATCTGCTTTTTCTCATCACGTATTGTTTCATATTAAGATTTTACGTTAAACATACAAACATACAACAAATTGTGTTTATGTTCCAATACTCGAGGAATTTCTCTTAGAAATTACGTAACACGTCAATATCGCACAGTAATCACGTACGTATAGGTAATATAGTATGTACAGTCGTATCTCGATGATTGCGACGTACTCGAGTCCACTTCACCCCCTCATAAATTTGTATTTTGCCCGAAGCCGAGCCTCTGCTTAACTTCTGTTTACTATGTTTTCATTAGTTCCACAGGGGGACTCTCGCAGTGGCGCATTCATCGAGAAATCACTGTATTTTGCATATGAAGTAATAATAAATTGACCTTTGTTTTCTTTGTGAAACTATTTATCTATCAGGTCACCATTTGATTGATTAATTGTCAAAAAAGCTGTACAAGCTTACTCGCTGAAGTACAGCTGTGTTTAATTGTTAAAACACTTTTCCTTAATAATGTTTAAAGCACATTCAGAAGCAGATAAATTTTTGATCTATTGTTAGATGTGAACAAAATTTTGAATAGCTTTGATTTCCATTGCCATCAATATTACTTCACTTTTTCATTTTATAACTGTTACTCCTACATTCCATTCGCGAATACTACATTCACACAGATCTGATTAATTGTTCTAAATGACACAATATTTGTGCCGAATGTATATTTTCGTTGTCTATACTTCTGCGACGATCGATTCTTTTTTTTGTTTTTTTTTTTGCTTAAATCTATGTAAATGTACGGATGTCAGGCAAACACATACAGTTGACTTTTATTTTATATTTAAACTATCGTGTCTACGTGGAAATTGCATCCGAATATTTTCCAAATTGTTACTTCTAGGAATGAATTCATTGTTATGCTTATAAGTTTGCGAGCAGGTGAGCGAAGGCAGTGGCGCCGGTGAAAGAAAGGGGAGTAGTGTGGGCACAGACGAGATATAAGAATAGACCTAACATCTTATGGGACTTGGTGTCCCACGAAAATCACGCTGGATCGAGCCCATTCCAGATAAAAGTTCCCAACTTTAGGAACTACGTTCGTCACCGTGATGACACACAGCACACACACACACACACGTGACTGTATATAGCGATACATACATACATTATTGCTCCGGTTTCGCTAGCAAGGAAAGGAATACTGGAATGGTACGGGGGCTTCTGGCGCCCTCGAAGCATGGGACAGAAAATTACATTGCATGTTAGGTCTATTCTTATATCTCATCTGTGGTGAAGCTAAAGTAGCAAGGTCGGTAAAAAGGAGTGGCAGAAGAGGGAAAGAAGAAGGGAAGGTCCACAAACGTGGGAAGGTTATTTAGAGACAGTAGTAGCAGTGTGGGAAGTCCGGAGGATTTATAGAAGAGGAGGAGGTGAAGGAGGGAAGAGAAATGGAGAAAGGAGAAAGAAGATATGTGGGAGAAAATAGGAGGGTGTTCCGGTTTTTTTCGGCTCCCGACAAAAGTATGCTATCGGCGAGCATACACTAATTTGAGGTGCCAGATTTAGTCGTGAAGGAATTCTCGAAAAAGAACGGTTTCGGAGTTTCTTCAAACGGCCAGAGCGATCATGTTCGCGAGAGAAACCGAAACAAAATTCGACTGTACGTGAGCGGGCCTTGGTAACACGGTTCTCGCGATCCCCCGCCGAACCCCCTACGCTTTCCAATCAGCTACTCGATCCACCTCAAGTTCGGTTGCGAAGAGTGAGACGTTATAGGCGAGAAGTAAACAGAAGCGCAAACACCTGAGCGTGATTGTCACATATTCAAAATTAACTATAGCCAGGCGAGCGTTTTCCCTCCCAAACATAACGAAATTAACAAAATGAATCAGATGTCGACACAGGTTCGATCTTCTTACACCTCATGACATGACTAACCTTAGAACATTAGAATTTGGTTACTGCCCGCCGTCAAAGAACAAGTTTAAAAAACAAAAGTGGATTATTTTGGGGATCAGCTAAGATTCCGTTGGTGGAGCTGGAACTGGTAGTTGACAGCTTTTGACGATTGGTCGAGTAACGACCTCCTTGGCAGTTTGCAGCGTAACCACTCGGACTTTGCCATCTTGGCCACGATGAGCGTCCAGAACACGTTCCATGGATCAGCGGGTGGGCGGTAGAAGATCGTCAACCAGTCGAACCAGTGCTCCTTTGCGGTTGTCGTGGCGTTCCGCCTGCCATTTTGGAAGAGTCTGCGAGTGATGCAGATACTCGTGCGTCCATCTGTGCCAAAAATCATCGCACATTTTAGGAATCAAACGCCATGTCGAATGAGGTGAGCGGAACGAGGGTTAGGTCAGTTGGATTGTCCATTAGTGGAGACGAGGATCTGGAGTTAAGGTATGCTTCGACTTGAGATAAAAAGGTAGCCATCTCTTCATAGATGAGTTGCTGTCCTCCGAGCACTCTTCGGATCTGGAACTTGAAGCATCGTCTAACAGCGTTCTAATCGTGATAGAGAATACGCTTGCCGATTCCAGTTGGACCTGTGCCGTCGGCAACAGTACAAATCGACGTCTCATAAAAAAAAAAGGTCTAGATAAATAAAGTTCTGACAGCGAATGCACCCCCTGACAAAGTTGTACCGTAAAGACCGTCGAATATAGGGTTAACACCGAGGGTGTTTCCTAATGAGACTGTACAGCGGAACAATCGTCTGATAAAGACCTGGTTGCTGTTCAAATTCCCGATGAAAATAATCAGACTCGCCCGCCCATAAACTGACCTCGAAAATTCGATAAAGAATCGAATTTGTAACGGTGGAATACGGTGCTCAAAGATACCAGAGTAGGCAAAATTGATCCCACGCTGGTTACGAAAGGTTACTTCGTAAAATTTATTTATTTATTTATTTACACGGGTAGAGAATACCCCTTTGGTGTACAGATAGGATTACAGAAAAAAAAGAAGAAAAAAAGTAATTCCGGTATACAGAAACAATAGGTGTTGGAAAGTATACAGTAACGGTTAATACTACTGTATTGGCCGTATAGTGTGTGATCAGTCTCAATGTGAAAAGATAGTGTATTGTCTAAATTTCCTAGATGGTACATAAAGTCTGAGAAGAAACAACGCTTCAGGATAATCAATAATGTTGTTCAAAATTTTATAAAGGGTTAGAATATTAGACATTACACACCTCTTTTCCAATCAGACTTTAGTAGTATTTTCCACGACTAAAATAAGATAAAAACATTATAAGTGTACTTTACAAGGCAGTTTATTAAAAAATTATAGTGAGCAGAGAAGTCAAATTTAATGGAAACTGTAATGAAAATAAACAGATTCATCCTCTGAAGCCATGACCATTAATTTTTTAATACTCTCTACTTACCCTTTTCAGTGTTTGATCAATAGATCTCATACCATAACAATTTTTCCTATAGGTATATATACTTCGACACTCAGATGATGAGAAAATCTAACGTTCGGTGTAATGGACCGTGAAGAATAATTTATCTTGTTTCACTATTTTTGATCTTTGTTATTATTACTAATTTACAGGCAAAATTCCCATACTCAGAGTGTGCGAATCGGCTCTATGATATTCATGAGATTTCATTGATTATATTATCGAAGTGGCTGAGAAAAAATCTCAAGCCGCAATTTGTCTCGGGTTAAATTATACTCAGAGAATGATTTTGACTCCTATATGTATAAAATTGTGGGTCACATTCTCCATTCATTTCTATTCCTTCTTGTGTCAGATCATTTAATTAAAAACTGATTGTCAGAGCTTGTACATTTCGTGTTATTTTCCTAAAAATGTAATGAAACACATTGATCACCTGCTCAGAATCGTTGGAAATCGATTTTCGGCTTCGATTCCGACAATTATCGGTGATAATCGACGGGTTGGAATTGTCCCTTGATTCTGATACTTCATGGACTATTGAGAGTTTGCCATCCTTTTCGTCAACGTTATATACCTCCACCGAGATTTCACGATTTCTCTCCTGACACTCTATACAGAGAGGGAGGTGTGTAAGAGAGACCTAGCTAACCGTGCTCTCTTCGATGGACGGGCTCGCCAGGGCTTGTGTCTCACCGCTGGCATGTTTTATTCCGTCTTGGCTTCGACGTGTTGCTGGTGGGCTGCTACGAGAACAGGAGGTCATGCTCTGCATCGTTTGGCTGCGACCACCGTAAAATCGCATGCTATAAGCTGCACGATTACTGCTTTGCAATGCAGCCGTCTGAAACAAATATTATAGTTCTCCCTGCACATAAAAATACAAACAAATATGTACCTATAATTCGTCGCACAAGAGCGTACTGATGATATCTTCATGAAAATTGCATTTTCGTGTGAAAATTTATATATATATATTGTGTATACAGTGACTGCCAAAAGTTTCCAGGAAAACTGTAATTTCAACATATTTTTTAAAAAATATACAGGGTGTCCCCTATTTGGGGGTATTAGGTAGTTTTATTTGGGGTATTTGTGTCTTAATTAAGTAGGAATGCAATGAAAAATTTCCTTACTACTATTATATTTTCGAATGTTTTGTTTCAGTTTACTTAACTGACTGTTTACAGTTAATTAGATCGTTTAGCATCAATAAGTTTCAATAATTAAAAAATTTGTCCCATTACAGTAGTGTTTTATTTACAGTCAATAAGGATTTCTACTTACATTAGATTGTCCAGGTCGAACATTTTTGTATGGTTGAAAGAGTACCAGATGAACTTTTGGCGTGAAAAGGCAACCAAGAGCTACTGATGCGGAGATGTTGATGCACATACACATGCTTGCTATCTGTACCTGCAAGATTAATTTTATATATTTTTTACATTAAATTTGACTCATATAATCAGAAAACCTCATCGTTTTTATATAATATCTCGTATGAATTTGCATTTGCTGGTTTAAGCTTATCGAGAAAAGAAGTTGTTTTGGAGAGTAACTGTTTTAACATACATGTTTTCATCACTTCTGGTGATTTTGTTAATAATTTGTTTTTCTTTTACAAATATCTACCGATCCAAGGGTGTAGATGCACCCTTTGCAGCCGTGACCATTAATTTTTATACACTGCTTTATTTTAAAACAATCGCTGATCTCAAAATATTTCCCTGTATACCTAATTTTCGTTATCTAGCTAGCCAGAACTATGAGTCCCGCTGAATTAATATTCTCTATGTACATATGTTGTACGTACATCAACGTAAGCTACCTCAAAAAGATTTGTCTGTAGCTTATAGATACAGACCTTGTAATCATTGTTCGAACCAAAGTAGATGGGCACAAAAGCTAACCATACGATGCACGTCGAGTACATTGTAAAACCAATGTATTTTGCTTCGTTGAAATTCTCCGGTATCTTCCGTGTTTTGAATGCATATAAAGTGCACATGAGTATTAGGAACATGTTATACACGAGGGACATCATCAGAGAGAATGTCGATACACGGCATGTAAGTACTGCTGATAGTGGATAAGGATGAATTTCCGTAGTGTCCGGTGGTTCGATAATTAGCCACGCGATAGCACCAATTAGTTGCAATGCAGTGATCCCTATAAAAACGGGAATTACATAATCAAGATATCAAGATTGAAGCATTAATAAAGAATCTTACAATTAGTAAAGCTTTTATGATAAAATTACAAAAACTTTACGTCTGTACGTTCAAATCTACATTTAAAGAGTTAGATTTAGACAAAATCGAGTATAAGTTCATATTAATTTATGTAGATAATGCAAACTTTTTTATTAAACCAATTAAATAAGAAACTGATCATTTAAGTTTATTATACAAAACCTTAATTAGTTTCACAAATAATAAGTAATAACTTTAATTATACTCTATTTAAACAATTATTCCGGCATAAAAATTTCGCTTTGCCTTCTCAATGTCATATTTTCGGGTCTTTACATAAGTTATAATTAGAGGTAATAAATTAGAACTATTTACGAAGTGAACATACCGAGTCCGCACATACCGATTTTAATGAAACTCATATGGGAAATAGAACTCCTAAAAATATATGATATGTATATTTTAATACAAGAAAATTAAACATGTTTAGTCACATAAAAAAATTCAATAAAAAATACAAATTTTTTATATATTATTTAAACAATTAATTTAATCCAATATTTTCATATCGGACTAAATTCCCCACTTAAAAAGATACAATTTTAGAACAAAAAACTTTTTCCTACTTCTTCTAGTTTTCGAGATATTCCAAAAAATATATTTTCATCCCTCAACATTGTAAGCTGTTATCACCCATTAACATGGACGGTGGCCGATAAAAAAATACATATAATATATTTTTCGGAGAACTACTTCCCATATAAGTTTTATTAAAATCGACATGTGCAGGCCAGTATGTTCCCTTGTAAGTTTTATTTCTTGTAACTTTGTACGTGTTAAATGTATGTAAAGCACGATCGTATACACAGGTTTGGCAACTCTCGTGGTGGGGCTGATCCCTTGAAGTAGAGAAGAGTGGTCATTAAAAATTTGCAACGAAGCGAGGATGCTATAGTAGGCGAATGGCGAATTTTTTCCACAACGGAAGTTTCCGGATCTATGTATACGACTGTTATGTAAAGGCAGGATGCGTGTGTGTGTGTCTAATGTGATGTATGAGCGTGTTGCAAAATCTAGCGCTTGTATTAGAAAAGCAAGTACGTTTCGCACGCACGTGTAAAGTTATGAAGTAAGATATAAGAACAATAAATATTCATTTACATCGAAAGCAGTGGCTGATATTTAGTTATTTAATATATAAATTTGTTTGACGATTATATTAATCTAACAGCCCAGTCAGCCAAATCTGCAAAGCCAAATTTTCTTCAACGCCTGTTATAAAGTTCTGGCTACAATTTTGATGCAAGATTTGCTAGAAGAGAAGATTAAAGGAAATTAATGCAGCTGCTGGGAAGTTTCTGCGATCTCCCCATTACGAAGTACCTATGGAATATTTAGGATTCTCTGGAGGTCAAAGGGTTATTTTCCTGACGATGAAAGAAGGTTGAAGGAGTATTGCAGCAGTGTCATGAGGCGCTGGGACGAAATTTCGGAATTTGGAGGAATGATTCTGAAGTGAAGAGTCAATGATTGAGAAGGATATCAGTTAGTAAAGGCGCGAGATGGCAGACTGTCAGGGTGAGGACTCTAGCAGACTGGTAAACGCAGACTTGATCCGCTCGTATACGTACGGAGTTCAATGGGGAGTGCAACGGCTTACGAGCATTCACTGTTACCACACTGGGGAAATCGGGTTTTCTTCGTAAATTGTGCAAAATAGTCGAAGAGAAGAGGGCCCGGTATGCCAGATTGGCGCATTCGTCACTGAGTTACCGAGACGGCGTCCTGAGTTCGTCGGAGGTGCTTCCTGAAGATGGAACTTCAACGCTACCGCGGGTACTCGGCCGGCAGACTCACGCTCTGATTGGTCGAGATTTTTCGTTAATGTCTCGTTAACAAAGCCTCGGATAACATCTTTACTAAGGAAAAATTTGTTCTAAATCACCACACGAGTTACCCATTCCAGGGATCTACAACACTTTTGTTACACTCTATATGGAAATATCAGAATCAACTAAAGAAATACTGTTTTTGAGAAATTTATTATTAGAATTGAATATAAAATTGAACATTAGTTTGTATAACGATCACCGGAGTGCAAAGCTGTTTGCGAACAACAATGTTTTTCATGCGAGATCTAAACACATAGACTTGCGGTATCACTGCATCAGGGATGCCTTAAACAATAATGTGTTTGAGTTTGCATACTTACCGTCTGAACCAATGATCGCAGGTGTAATGACAACATTATTTATAAGGTAAAATATTATTTTTGTGTTCCAATATAGGCTTGCAACTATCTGAATAAAATAGTGGTAATAAGGATGCATTAAACGGGACTGTTAAATGTACATATGTAAAGGCAGCAAGGCATGTTGGCGACAGGATGCATGCGCGTGTGCCTGGTGTGATGTATAAGTGTGTTGCAAAATCTTGCCGTTGTTTTAGAAAAACGAGTGCGTCTCGCACGCACCAGCATTTTTGAAACAATAACGAAATCTTAATTTCCCACGTATTCAAGATGAAATCAAATTTTGTTGTATTATTGAAAACATTTTAATGTATTTTTAGAGGTTCAATATTTACCAAAATTTTGAGTGTTCATAAATAATTTTTAAATAGTGGTGTGTAAAAGTAGGAGAATGTAACATTTTCTATAGATACGAGATTTTTAAAGAATGTCTCGATGTGCAGGGAGTGTTTCGTATTAATATATCAGTGTATAAGAATAATTCATTTGTTACGTACAGATCGATGTTTATTAAAACAATTTACCCATATTGATTATTAAAACTTTAATAAATACTAGCACAGTAATTATTACTACATAATATGTATATTGCAAGAAACTGCTGTAAAACGATACTTTTGTATACTACTTGTACAAATGCATGTGTATTTATTACATGCATATTTCTGCCAACAGTTACATTAACTATTATTTACGAGCGAATGTTGATTTTAAGAACAATTTTAATATCGAACATTTAATTAAAAGGCAAATATTTTTCGAAATAATTATGCAAAAGTGTGCAATACAGTAGTCATATCTATGAATGCCTTTGAAAATTATAAACTCACCGATTGCAATCACAACTTGACTCTTCGGGGATGTGTAAGGAGGTCTCCTTATACTCTTTGTTTCCTGATTGAAGATACGTGATATTCGATTTGTTTTAGTCAATATCGCGCTATAGCAAATGCTTAAACAAAGACCCAAACCGATTCTCAGATACGTACAATTCCATGTGGTTGGTTTACTTAATATGACAAAACTCATACCGTAGCAAGATAGAATTCCTACTAACAATACGTAACATAATTCACGTCCTGATGCCATAATTACAGGAGTGCGGTTAAAACTGAAATAGAATTTCAGACAGAATCAATTAAGTTATTTTAATCGCGAGTATTCTACGACTTTTAAACAAAAAACACAGATGATTTCAACATGCGTACAAATTTTGTATTTTAGTTTCGAAAGAAAATAACGAATGGATTGATGCACCCAGGCAGGGCCGGATTAAAACCTTCAGAGCCTCTAAGCACTTAAAAGATTTTGGTGCCCCCATATACATACTGTGGTTGCTAAAAGTTTCCAGTCAAACTCTAATTCCATCATATCTTTCTCATAGCTTTTGTTAAGCCCGTATTTGTTAAAAACAGGAGAACAGATTATTTTTATGTATTATCACTAGTCGGTGATATTATACATATATTTTTAAAAAGATATGGTAAAATTGTAGTTTGGTCGAAAACTCCACATATGAAGAACAGAAACCTGACGCCTGTTCAGAATACAATGTATTACATAATACAGTAATGTCTCCATGAGTGCGACGTACTCGGGTCCGCTTCGAAGCACTCATGGCAAGGCAGAAAGGTTTTCATCCCCTCATAAATTTTTTTTTGACCGAAGCTGAGCCTCCGTTTAACTTCTGTTTACTCTGTTTTGATTGGTTCCAAAAGGGGACCCTCCAGTGGTGGGAATAACGCCGTTACTCGTGTCGCATTCATCGAGGAATCACTGTAGCACGGGTCTAGTCAAATCCGGACATTGTTTAAAATCACATTTTGTTTAAAACAACGAAATAAAAGTCCATACTAAAATGCAGCTTGATGGGAATTATTCCGCAGAACAATCCTAATTTGACTGAACTAGAAAGAGTCTGCAAGAAACGGCATCAAGTGATGTCGGGCCACCGAACCATATAGTGGCAATTTTTTCATTTATTGTGGGCATCATTCGCAAATTTGAACCATATGGTCCATAGAAAACGAAACAATGGAAAATTTCTGTGGTGCCCCCCTTCTCTTGATGCCCTAAGCACGTGCTTATTTTGCATAATGGTTAATCCAGCCCTGTACCACCAACGAGATATAAGAATAGACTTCTCATCTTACGGGAGTTGGTGGCTCACCTAAACTATAGTATCGACACCTTAAAAACCCTGTGATTTTAGCGACCTTTACGTTATGAGAACATTGAATTTGCGGTGGGTAGTGACACTAAAATAGTAATGGGGCGACGTCGCCCTAAAAATGTGGGCCGAAAAAATACATTGGATCAAAAGTCTACTCTTATATCTCGTCTGTGCCTGTACACAGGAAATAAATTTTAGCACAGAAGATTTTAAATTATATTTAAATTGTAGTTTTGAATATCAAATTAAGAAGTTAGTAATTGCCGGTAATTTGAAACAAACTTCAACTACAAAACATTTATTTGTTTCTAACTACATATACGTAAAGTACGAGTGGTGTCGAATAACGATTAACAAAGGAACATACCGAAGTGACAATTACCGATTTTGGTGAAATTTCGTTAGAAAGTAGATGTCATGAAAATATTAGACACGTATTTTTTTAACGGTCAAAAGGGCATTTCACGCGAAAACGGACACTTTTTCGAGTAACATTTCCGATTTTGTTGACACTTGGATATGTTGTAGTCTTTAGTGATATATAGGGTGCAACAAAAATGTTGCAGGTCCCTGAAATGGTACATTCGTGAAGCGATTTCCGGTAGTCGAAGTTATTTTGGGACACCCTGTATACATTTCTCATTGGCTATAACTATAACGCCACATACACACGGTGATGATCATTTCCAACATTTTAAAGAAGAATGTAGTGTAAGAATTAGTCTGATCGTTAAAATGCTTATATCTTCCAAACCCATTGCGATCCCACTCTGAAAATTCTGCAGTTTACTATTGAAATTAATATAATTAACATATGTAAAAATGAAAAAAATCGAAGAAATGGGTTTTGAGATATTTAGGGATAAAGTACGTTTCAGAGGGGCACGTCTCCCAGAAATCGAAAAGTGGGAGAATGTTACCCGAAAAGACGAACAGAGGGGGCATGCCTCTCAGAAATTGAAAAGTAGGAGAGTGTTATCCGAAAAAGACGAGGAAAGACAGCTAAAAAAAAGATTCGTATTCAATATTTTCGTAAGAACTACTTTCCAACGAAGTTAGAAGTTGCATCAAAATCAGTGATGATCAGTTTGGTATGTTCCCTGATATAGGGATGTTTCCATACAACAGTTGATTCTGTAAAAATATTAAAGGTAGTTCTCAAGAAGAGGAGTCACTCAGACTCCATTGAACATTAACGAAAAATTTAAGGTGTCGTTTTACTGAATGTTCGTGATGTTTTACTGTAGTTCATAATGGAAACGCACCGAATAAAGACCACCGTAGTGAACAATGTGCTAAGTATGCCGATGGTGGCGAATATTAATGGCACTAATGCCCATGGACTGGTCCACGGAATGACTTCGGCAGTAAGCTTCATGCAATTTGTCATTGTTTCATCTGGAGCATAGCCTGGACCACAACTGCGACAAGTGTCATTGAAAACATAAGAGTCTTCTCGACATGCTACACAACTCCAACAACAGGCTTCCTGAAAATTTTATGTTTGGTTTTATAAGTATTAATTATGTATATAATCCTCAAAATTCTTATATGTATATTAATTGTACACAATCTGCCACTCATAAGTATATGTCCATCCATATTGGATTCACTTTAGAAATATAGAAGTATTGTATTCCATTTAAAAAAAAAATCAAGTTGACCTTCAAATCTAGCTTACCAGTGCACCTACGGAAAAACTATGTAGAGCGTATAATGATCCCCTCTGTATAAAAAAAAACTTGGGCAATAGCGTAGTATGTAACCATCTTAAATTTTATTGCTATACGATGTATATTGAGCGAGTAAATCTGAGTTGACGAATGAATACTACTACGAAACATTTATAACTACAAAATAAGCAATATTATGTGAATCAGAGACGTGTAGCAACGTATTGTGACAACGCATCGTTATATTATTGATAACTCATTCGATTTTTCTTCGTAAAGATACTTTACACTTATAATACAAAGATCATTACTTGACCTTGTTACTTACCTGAAAATTACGGACATGGCCTAATGGACAATTATCACTGCATAGACTTCGGGGAATGTGCAAGTCGCCAGCTCCTGTTGCCCATCTCGTAATGTTGATATCAAGTGTCAATCTAAATAAGATATTTCAAATTCAGAAGAAATTATGGATTTAAAATAAAGTAGAGAGAAGACAGTTGTCGTCACTTTTTTATACATATAAAAGTACCATGTTAACAATTAACTATAGTTAAACGCGATTTTACTATTTTAATGCGAAACAGATGAAACGTATGTATTGTTGTTATATACATAAAAATATTACGCGTATAGCTCACGTAGACGATCGAGTAGTCAAGAAGGTACAAGTGGTCACAGAGAACCAAGCACAATGTAATATATTGAATTTGTTGTGATTAATTTTAGTACTAATAACAAGAATACAGGCGCAAAACAATGAGTTTTACATTCTCCGACTCAGTCGAGTAACTGACTACCTTATTTATTTGATATTTAAACAGCGTCAAAATATGACGACTCCCAGAAATGTGGAATTCCTGGGATGATTTGAAACAACTTTGTCCTTAGCGAAAATGTTGTCTGTGTATATCCTGACATCCTGTATAATTTGAGGGTATTGAAACTTACTTACTCTTCTTTCCACGTACCAATAAGGACATAATCGAAACGACCGTCTTCATTTCTCTGATATTGATATATACTATAAAATCCATAAGCATCGCCATCAGCTTTAAATTTGATTTCTGTACCCTGGCGACCTAAATGACATTTGCATAAAATAAGGCAAATGAGTCTTCTGTAAATCTTTCATAACACCACAATGTAATTCCCTATTTTCTGATACTAACAATTTTTGTGCTCTGTTGAGTTAATGCTATTTTGAACCGATATGTGTATATCACATTGTCGAGAATTATTATAAACAGAATACTGGAATATTTAACAAAAATTAGTCATCCACTAGAATTGGTTTGTCACGAATCACAAAACCGTTAGTTTGGCTGCTCGGAGATCTTGCGTTTGGTAGGAACGTGCGCCTAAATGTGTTAAATTTCAAGGGGCAAAACGTCATATCCAGATGGCTGAAAATTTTTACTTATTTTTGTTACATACTGCAGGAAAAAATTGTTACAATATTTCTATCAGTAACAAAAAATAGGAACTTTTGTATTATCCATTACACATTCATAACACTTTTACCGATGTTTTGGCGAAGGTGTCCGATAAAAATGAGACTAAAGTCAAACGTAATCAAACAATTTTTGTTTGTATCACTAATTTTTTCGCGTTTTGCGTAATTAAATACGGGGAAGTGTCGAAAGTCGATATGCAAACAGTAGTTGTTAAACGTGATTTCATGTAGGCGTGTAAAAATTGTCAATAAAACATCAGAATCACGTAAATTTTTCATTTCATAACATAAATTATAATCAGATTAATAACGTGATAAGTAATTACCAATGAAGCTGACATTTCGAATGTGTTGAAGAAGCTGTTGGCCGTCAGGTGCTGGACGAAGTTTTTCACACAAATAATGTGTTGTTCCAACGTTATTTACACACTCTTCTTCAATTAAATTATGTACGCCATGTGCCATCGCATATATTGCGTCAACTAAACATAATTCAACGTGAAACTTTAGTATTTGTTCTTTGGAAAAAATAATACAACTTGATCGAAATATGCAAATTTTTGTTAACCCCTTAACTTATAATTTAATTCGTAACAGCGCGTGCCATAGTCGGCTACAATTTTGCTAACGCCTTTGGACGTATAGCAGTCAGACCATCGCACCGATCCTGCGGATGATAACTGGCATTCCATTTTAGAAAACACTGAATACAAATGCGTGATGCAGTTTTCGTATAATTTCAAAAAACTTCTTTAATAATGTGTTACGTCCCACCCGTGATAGAAAAACTTCTGACACAATAAATTCCGTCGCGACAGCCTGGACATGGTCGTGTACTCAAGTTGCATAGTATCAGTGAAGGCAATGTCAGCGCTATACCGTGGTATGTCATCAGGGCGTTCAAACTTCCCACTTCCACTGTTTTTTGAGAAATTGTACATACACCATCGAACCATTGATTCATCGCTAATTGTCGTCATATCACGTACCGGACAAAAGGCCCGTCGCACAGTGGCGAATTTCCCAGAAAAGCTGGCCAAAAGTAATATTTCCAATTCTAAGGCAAATTGTTGAAGTATTTTATCATAATATGACTCTGAAAAGATAAAAATATAATTGTTTAACGTTAAATATTTAATTTGTTGTCCTGATTAGACTTAGAATCATTAAAAATATTAAAAATTTTGTGATGTATTAGCCAAATAATTATACAATCATTAGTATAACGTTACACGTATGTATATACATATTTTTTAACATTATTTAACATGTACATTTATATATGTATATTATATACAACTGGAAAAAATTATTCTTCCATAACTTTGTTAATATTCATCAAAACTTGATCACAGGATGAGTAAATTACATCTTGCACCTTCTACTTTTTCACCTTTTCGTTCGATTTTATTTACATCGGTATCCAAGGAGTAAAATTTTCGTCTATAATCCTTAACCTTCAAAGCAAGCTAAACAGTATCCAAATAGATTTTTTTAACAAAGTTTCTGAGTACAATAACATAATAAAAAATATGGAATAAACTAATGATCAATAAATAATGATATTAATACAGTAGTGGTTGTGGTTGTGAAATCAGAACAGTCAGTGCTGAGGAGTCTTCGCACACTCAACGAGGATTCTCTGTACTTCGTATTTTCTCCGTTGGCTTTTATCACAACTTTGCACCTTTTAAGCAGGGTATTAATTAACTTTTCAATCGTTTACAAAGAAGTTTTTCAAACCACACTCTTTGAATACTTTCTTTTAATTCCGTTTTATTCCATGAATTCATTTTTGCAATAACATCCCCAATTATCTTCCACCAATTTTCAAATGGATTTAAATAAGGATCGTTACCGGTCCCGCGAGAGCTCGGTTGGCAGACTCGCCCTCGGATTGGTCGGGGTTATTCGTTAATATTCTCGTTAACAAAGCCTCGGATAACATTTTTGCTAAGGAAAAATTTGTTCCAAATAACCTCACGAGTCACCCATTTCAGGGACCTACAACACTTTTGTTACACCCTGTATACTACCTACTTTGATGGATAAACTGGATAATATGAAAATAAATCGCAAAATAGCTCCTTAAATTTCAATTGTCAACTTTGAGCTGACATAACATAAAAAGGTCTGCAGTTAAAATGTTTAAATTAAGAATAAATTATACTCGGAAATGTTATAGACTAACTACACTAATCAGATGTGGCGAATTAAAAACTTTGTGTTTTGACTTTTGGCCAGCTTTTCAGGGGAATTCGCTACTGTGCGTCGCGTGGAGCACTTATGTCCAAAAAAAAAGTCCTGGTAGTCAGTGCTATAGCGACGTAAAACACCTGCATCCGGTCATACACGGAGATCTGTTATCAGTATGTTATCTATCAGAGTCAAACTATCATTGGCCTATACCGTTAATTATTAGTCGATCGGAAACTGATCCGAATGTGAGGTTATTCTAAAGTTGGACAAAGTGTAGGTGACTTATAACAACTCGCAAGCATATCAAAACATAATTTATAGATATAAGTTCATAATATCCGGACCACTATGCAGCGGTAGCACTTTTTTACTAGTTCCATTGTAGCGAAGGGGTTGAAAGTTCTGCTGCGTCTGGATGCGTTCGATCAATCGGAAGCATTTTGCGTGGATTCCGCTATCTCAGTTATTTTTAAAAATATCAAAAAAGTTTATTTACAAAAGGGATTGAGTATTATTGAAGGATTTTATTAAAATAATATTATATACACCGCTCTTTTAGTGAATATGCGAGTTAAATGTCTTGTTAGGTGACAGAGTGGAGTACGCGCACGTGTGTGAGAAATACATCGAGGTGCGTTCCGAGCGATCAATTAAATTCACTGGAATGTAGTCTATCATAATGAAGGAATTGGTCTTAAATGGTTAATTGTTTGATACATGTTTATATTGCTTCTTTCTTGAAGCTATGGCCACTTAATCGCAGGAATAATTCAGTGAAATTATATAACAAACAATTAACTGCATTTGTGGTGTTGGGACCAAAATTCACGGAACCAAACGTTTCGACAATTCACTATTTTCCCGGGAAACTGTTTGTGCGGTACATTACTTTCAGTTTGACCATCGCACTCATCGTCCACTCTAGGGCGAAGATTTAAATAATAGCTGTCGAAATCTAAAAGTTCAAATTTACAGTGAAGTATTAATATTAATGAAAAAAGGTTTTTTGGACCTATGGCGGCTTGTGATTAATAATCACTGATTACAATCTAAAAATGATTGTATAGAAAAGTAGGCGTTGTTCTTTGCAACCAGTTAGTTTTAGTAAAGTTTTTAACAGAATAATCAGAAATCAAAAAGACCTTTTGAAATATCTTTGATATATACTTTGGTACATACCTTGAAGACTCGTTCGATACGGTAAAATTGTAATCGCACCCTCTGCCGCGAACTCTTGGTCTCTCACTGGATACACTTTTGCACCCCATGAGTCACTCCCTAACCACATGAAATGGCCTGTACGATTGGCTCTGACAGTTGCTTCAAGAAGCTTCCTATAAACAACATATTTCATTTTTTTTAGAGAAGTAAATAATTTTATATTATGTTGATGAGAGTCGATGGTTTCAGGGTTTGAAGAAATTATGTAATCTAAAAATATCAATTTTTATACAAACGTAATGTATAAGATAATATTTTGTTTTAAAAAAACTATTTTAGTCGTCATTGTTCATATTTCAACTGATTGAAAATATCTTTTAAAAAAAAAAGCATTTCCGTCTTGATTAATAAAGCGGGAATTTCATGTGATACTGTCTAAAGAAATCCGCATATCCATGTCTGTTCGTGAAACTTATGGAAAAATTTGTCAATATGTATATTAGATATATGAGATCAATTCCGGATGTCTGGTAAATATATAACATAATTATTTACCTTATATTATCTTCATCGACGAACAGAACAACACCTCTGGCATTGTGTTTCGAATTAAGTCGATCAATGATTTTGTCAAAGTCTTCATTCTTCGCATTTCTTAGGATCTTTTCACTAACTGCTACGCAGATACTGTATTCCATTGACAATGAAATGAAACTGGCAATTCCCTGAAACGTATACAATCCTCGAATACATAGCAGACTTCGTTGAACCATCCAGAGTCCGGAATACATCAATTTAATCACCTTCTCTCCGTAATCACCTTCAACTGCAACTGTAGAAACGTACTTCCAGCCCAGTTGATGAATAATTTCCACCATGGCCTGAGCTTGAAAATTATCTGGCGGTACCACTCTACTGAAATATTCGAAGCGACTTTTATCCGACAGTTCAGTGCTCGTTGATGCATAGCTTACTTGCGGTATCTGTGATCAAAGTAATTATCACTCTTTTTGGAATTACACTCGAAGCTCTTCTGTTTGAAATAATCTATGAGTGTAGGTGGCGTTTTGAAATAACGCAGTTTTTAATGTTTCTTAATTTTACTCATTTCTGTCGCGGATACAATTACGAACTAATTAAGTTTAACTCTGCTTAAATATACGTATGTAGTTGTTTAATTTTAATTACTATAAGATAACTAAATGTTACTTAATAAGTAATGATATTTAAGTCACTTCGTATAACTTGTTTATCCTTTTTGAATTGCATCATTATTTGTTAAAAATTCGCTAATGTATTAATATTTCAACCGACAATGTGTTTTCCATTTATGTTTTTAATACATTTGGAGTACTGACCTTAAATAATCTCAAAATATTGGCCACCATAATAGAAACAACGCTGAATGAAGCGCCTATGACGCCAGTCACTGGCTTATGTGGCGCATATGTCGGTGGCTTGTCATTTTCACATTTATATTCAGATATATCCTGAAAATAAATAAAGCAAAACAAATAATTAATTTACAATATTTATAATAACCACATATCCTAACTACTAAATAATTACTACGTAATCACTAAAAAAACTAAAATTAGTTTTTCGAACATAAACTCTATTTGCTCGAAGAATGCAAGGTGTTCCGTTTGGAAAGGACAACTGAAAATGCTGAACTGATCCTCCCTCCTTAGGATCGATGTGGCGTAGTAGGTCGATCTATAACTTACCTTAAAGTAACAAATAGTTTTTCTTCCTATTCGTATCCGTGCCTGCTATTGATGGTTTTACTACACTCAAAAGCTTGTCCAAGGATTTCACCGACATTCTCACGAAATTGAAGAATTTATCTTCATACTTTCTAAGGTCTTTAAAAAATTCAGTGAACATTCCTTTTGTACGGTGTTCTTGCAATAACAAATGTACCTAATATTTCCTTTTCGTCTTTTTTTTTTTTTTTAAAGGTACTTTATAATTATTACAATCTCCTCGACATCCATTCTGTTCGACAGTCCCGACGATATTAACAACTTTCTAGTCCCCTAGTTTGATCGCCAGATTTTTGGTCTTTCATCAACCAAGTCGCCGGCGACTGGTTGACAGTACGTAACGGCTCTAAATAGTGAAAACTCACTTACTTGGTTCATGTAGGATCTGACGAATTCCATGCTCTGATCTAGGGCGTAAGTATCGCTGCTACAGGAGTCAAGGATAAGGGCGCCCAAGGTGGTGTTAGGTAATAAATCATTGTCCGCATTTATTTCATCCAAGACGTACAGCATAGCTTCCAAACGCTGCATTCCTTTTTCTTCTTTTACTGCGCCACATGGGGACTGACCAATGAAACCTGACACCTATGAATAAACATATAACTATCTATGAATAAAATACATCTATAATAGAATTTTTCATTTTAATTAAGTAATATTTTTCTTATTAAATACTAATTGATTTTCGAGTCGATTATTTTTTAGGTAAACTATGGACTAAATTGGCAATCAATTTTTATTACGTAAAATTGGCATTATTGAGAGTTCTGTAGCTTTAAAAAATGGATGAGTGGTTCGAATCAAATTGACCGAAGTGGTATACAATAGAATTCGGCTGTGGAATGGAACTACGAATAAAATAGCATGAAATTGATCGTGTATAACGATGTCGAACTGGATTGGATTTAATGTAAACATACCTGTTCATGCATTGGGAAAATTCCGCCAAGGATTACGTCGCCGTTGATGCGTATCAGCTTGGAACCGTCTTCGTCGTGTCCTTTCCAATTGTGACATTCGCTTACAATAAGAATGTATGATATCCATATTAAAATTTTCTCCAGAGTCATATTAACACGTTTCCTAGTACTGAAACAAATAAGATAATATTTTTCTCGGTATTATATTACATACATAATAATAATGTACATGCATAAATAGATTTGTACACTAACTTATTTGCAATATCCATAAAGATATATCATTCGTTTGCTAATTAACGATTATAAACGTCGTCTCACCTAACTTGAGTATGTACAATATGTTCGCTCCAAAAATGTCGAAAGGAGAAATATTTTTCTGAATAAATCATTTTTTCCAAAGCTATGTGTATTCAGATTTTAAATGTATCTCGTTAACTATTAAGTTTAGGACGTATGAAGGTTGACACATTTTTACTCAGAATTTGATACTTTATCGGTCTATAGTACAAAAAATAGGTCTTTCCGGTAAACAAAATTAAGATTACCATGAAATCTCTGAAATGCCTCCACCCACAAAAAAAGCACATACCTTATAAGATGTGCCCCTTGATGTCATTTAAGTTCCACGCCTTAAAATTTTCATAAAGTGTACCGTTAAGTCGTAATTCGAGGTGATCGAGTTAGCTGAGACACCTTGTATAATGAAATTTCAATTCCAAGCTCCTACGAAATTTCTAATTAATTACAAGTGAGCACTAACTCGCTTTCCATTGCTATTTCAAAGCAATTAGTGAAGCTTATCGCACTGCATTTATAAAATAATTACGTAATTTATAGAATTTTAAGGTAGTAATGGAACTTCGCCCAATGAGTTTTTTATGTAATATTTTTTTACGTTCCTGAATTAACAAAAAATGCTTCTTTTTAGATGTAGAAATATGTGAACGATCTCTCCGTTTGTATTTTACTATTATTTAATGTATTACTTAATTTGCGAAGTATTGGAGAGTTTTTTGGAGGATACTTTTTGCCACTAATAAGTTTCAAATGAATCACACTTTTAGTTAGGAAGAAAAATCATTAACCATTTCAGTTGTGTATTTTATATGTATATTCTGTTAAGTATCCCGAGCTAATGTTGCGGGCATGTGGTATTCTGTTGTTTCCATTATACTACAGCGAACTGCATTCAGTATCTGATAAATCTACTTCGTCACCGTTTCTTTTAGAGAAATATTCGTTATAAAAAGTGTACTGTAAAACTACACTAAGTACTCAATACCACTCGTATCATTGACAAGCACTTAAGTGCGGTGCCAATTTACCACAGCGTTGCAGAATTTAACAAAAATGAAACAAACATTAAGAGTACTTTTACCTCTAATTGAGAGCCTCAGTTAAAACGTACTTGTGAAAGTAATTAGCCATTAAATGAAAGCCATAACAAACGGCACTTGAAATGGTAAGTTACATTGCGACTTTCAACGTTTGCGTCTCTGAAGTAGACCCCCGATCGATTAAAATACCACAATTTATTCGGTAGTACCGAATGGAGATTGATTTCACGATTGATCCATTACAATCGCAAAGTGTTTTCGACAGAGGTGACTAAAGTATAGACAATATCTTAATTCAAGTTTACAAAGTGAGTTTGGATAACAAAATAGCAATATATATGAATTCGATCAATTTTATCAATGTTTGAATTCTTCCACACGAAATAGCTAAAAGCGGTAAAAGATGTGCATGCAGTATTTACTATATTCCATCGTGACAGATTGATCCGTTACTATAATTCCCGAGGTACATGTTCAACAAATTCCGGGAATTTTAGTCACAGTCAGTACAGACGGAAAAAGGGGTAGAATGGGTAGCTACTATGAAATATGGACTTTTCTTTTGACGTGAACGTACGTTGATAGTCCAGGATACCGATGTCGCTGCTGACGTTGACGACAATGTCCTGTCGTTTTAGGAAGGCGGGGAAAGAAGGAAAAGCTGTTCTTTTTCTTGGTGGTAAATCGCTCTCCCCCTCTCAATCACTCTTTCTTTCTCACTCTCTTTCTCTCCCCCACTTTCCCTGCCCAACGAAACACTTCACTCTCTCACTCAGTCTATCTTTCTCGCTCTATTGTTCGTTCCTTGTCACTGAACGGCGAGAAACAACATAGCAGCAGTGTCATTCACGAAAGTGTTTCCCGTCGAGCAACAAACGACACGACATCGAGGAGAACGACGAACGCGACACCGGTACCACGGGGTAAACTGAAATCCCTACGAGCGCCGATCAGACTCTTATAACTGGCGTTGGGGCGCAAGCGCTCATTGAACTTCGTCGCTTAGGGATGGGCCGGTACATTTCGAAAAGAGGTGTTGATCCTCTCCTCTCGACTGATCGACTTTTCATCGCGGTATGAGCCAAGAAATCAATCACTGATAACCTTCATCATTCCTTAGGCTCAGGAGGCTTTCTTATATTTTCCCTCACTGCTGAATCCAAGACGGACTCTCTGTTTAAACGGTCCAAGGATATTACACTCAACCATGGGTTGTAATTGATATTGTTATAAAAATTTGGAAGAATATCTGCATAAAGCAGCGTTTGTTTGAAAAATCCTTTACGTTCCAACGTTTCTGTGGATTTTAATTCAACGATTTATTCTTAACGTATACATTCAGGTGTACATTACACATGATGATTTAGATCTGGTAACTTCATACATATAATTAATAGTTCTCTGTCAATTACATTAATCAGACTTCATTCAATGAAGGTATTATTATACATTTGTCAATAAGGCCATTCCATGCGAAATCGGCCACTTTCAGGAGTAACATTTCATTTTTTGTTGAAACTTGGATGTGTTATAGTCTTCAGTGGTATATAAACGGATGTCGAAGGATTTTTCAAAATTTTTTTAATTGTAGATTTTACAGCTGTTTGTAATATAGTGTCAACCTTCCTTCAATAAATTATGACTGTTGAACTAATAAACTGATCAAAGTCATCTTTGTGGGTGCTTACAATGGAAACATAAAAGAAACAAATTAAAATTTATTACCTAATCCAGATCAGTGTTGGTGGTCATGCAGTGAAATGAATACATTTCATACATTGCGACCCTTAACTTCGGCTGGTGTCGTATAACTGCGATCACCTCTGAAAGTTTCCAGCGCCGATTGCATTCCTATCATAAGACCGCGCAGTCTATTATACATATATGCCTATGGTACACACATAGGCGGACAGCTGTCGTTTTCACCAAGCACAAGATTTGAAGTTCAAAAAACGTACATTAATAAAAGTTGTTCCTTGAAAAACTATAGTCACATGAACAGTGTTAAAATCGCACTTGTTTGTAATAATTGTTAGTGAGTACCGTCATGCATACCCCGTTTAGTTTACTTTGAACAACTCTTATACCGTTATGCGGACAGCTTTCGTCTTGACCAAGCATTCAATTTGAAGCTTAAAGAACGTAGATTAAATCCTATATATTGTTAATAACAATAAACGACCAGAACAGTGTTAAAATCGCATTTAATCGCGGAATACCACTATTTTTTTGACCGGTGGCGCTACGAGTGGCAATTCGCTCAAACTGCTAGCCAAATCATACCGACAGGTGAGTGAAAATTCCTAATGATGTAGAAATGCGAATATCTCAGTAATTAAGCGCTAAAAATTAACGTTGTTAGTCACAAATTATTCTTGAGGACTTAATGCATCGATCCAGTATTGCAGAACCCTAGCATTAGTAAAATTATTTATGTCTGTATTAACGTTGACCCTTATGAAGCGGCAACCATGATTGCAACAGGTTTCAATCGCATTTACACCGCTGAACGGGCATCATTTTTCTTCGTCACGCATTAGATTTAAAGTTCAAAGAACGTACATTAGTACTCTTTAGAGATTGAGATCCAGAAATTACAAGATCATTGTTAAAATCACAATTGTTTGTAACGGTTGACACTGTATCTCGTCATGCGTACCCCGTTTAGTTCACTGTGGATAGCTCTTCCAATGTTATCCTGACAGCTTTCGTCTTGACGAAGCATTCATTTTGAAGCTGAAAGAACGTAGATTAATCCTCTGTCATTAACAATAACAATAAACGACCAGAACACTGTTAAAATCGCATTTAATCACCGAATACCACTATTTTTTTGACTGGTGGCGCCACCCGTGGCGATTCCCTCAAACTGCTAGCAATAATTTGGCTAGCAGTTTGAGGGAATCGTCACGGGTGGCGCCACCAGTCAAAAAAATAGTGGTATTCGGTGATTAAATGCGATTTTAACAGTGTTCTGGTCGTTTATTGTTATTGTTAATAACATGGGATTAATCTACGTTCTTTCAGCTTCAAAATGAATGCTTGGTCAAGACGGAAGCTGTCAGGATAACGTTGAAAGAGGTATCCAAAGTGAACTAAGCGGGGTACGGACGACGAGATACAGTGTCAACCGTTACAAATAATTGTAATTTTAACAATGTTCTTGTAATTTCTGGATCCCAATCGCTAGAGAGTACTAATGTACGTTCTTTGGACTTCGAATCTAATGCGTGACGAAGAAAAATGATGCCCGTTCAGCGGTGTAAATACAATCGAAATCTGTTGCCATTAAGTTTGCTGCTCCATAATGGTCTGCGTTAATACATACAGGCATAACTAATTTTACTAATTCTGGGGTTCTGTAGTATTGGATCGTTGCATTTAGTCCTCAGGAATAATTTGAGACTAAGAACGTTAATTTTCAACGTCTAATTACTGACATAGTTACAATTATCCATCACTCAGAATTTTCACTCACCTGTCGGTATGATTTGGCTAGCAGTTTGAGCGAATTGCCACGGGTAGTTTATAGTTCAGCGATAAGACCCCGTAGTCTATTATATACTTATGTCTATGGTGCATACGATGCAGACACAAGCTCTATCTACAGTTTGACTAAACTTTATGTCACTTTATGTTGACGGCTATGTCCCAGATGAAACTAGACGCTGACCGCGAAATGTGAAATGCATTTATTTATAAGTGACCAAAAGCATGTTGGAAGTTTTATATTATATGTGTTGCAATATTTAAGATAACAATGAGCTGGGAAATCAGCTGTGCAGATATGTGTCGTGCATGCATGAAGGTAGACGGCGTTCTTCTGCCTATGTATGATGATGATACAATTAGTCAGAAAAATTTGCCGGATAAACTAGCTGAACTTGTATCGATACAGGTTGGTAAGAAAATATTATTCTCATTTTACGAATTCACTTTATGGATAAATCGAATATTCATTTATTATATGTATACGAATATAAATTCATAAGGATACAACATAACCTTAAAACGATAACTAAATTTTCATTAATTAAATATCGTGTTTGAACTTTTCATCGTATCATGTACCTAAGGATAATTTTAAACTAATGGTACGTTAAATTTCATGTCTAAAACGTATTTCATTAACAAGAAATATGTTTTTTCGAATGGTCAACAATTAATGTATGTACTTCCATAAATGTATTTCTTTTAAGAAGGTATTTACCATTGTACTTACTGAAGTATTTCCATGACAGTATTTTTCAAATGAACGCAACCATAAAATAGTACCATTTACTTTAACAACTATTAATTGTTAAATGAATTTTAAATAACAATTTTCTTATTCCTTATAATATTAAATTTTACCATTACATAATGCATTGCATGTTTTTTTATTTTAACTAAATTATTGTATTTCGTTTGTAGATTGATAGATTTGATGGTCTACCAAATATGCTGTGTGCAAAATGTGCATATCGCACGGATGCATTTTATGATTTTAAGCTACAAGTTCAAGCCACAGAGAAAAAACTTCGTAAGATGTTTCAAACACATATACGTTGGGCCATAAAGGTAACAAGCAAAGAAATACTTTCATTTTTAATTTATAGTATATGAGTTTACATAAACATAAACAATAATGAATTTCATGTTGTTATTTATAACTTTTTTCACCTACATTGAGTTCATATCTATGAAATAAAATTTTTTTCAATTTTATTTAGTCTGTATAATAAAATAGTACATACAGGGTGATCCACGCAAGTTGCACACCTTAAATAACTTCTAAAGTATGCATTGTATGAAATAATTTGTTATGCAGAAGTTACATGGTTTGAAAGGACATATTATGTAGTGCATATAATTTTTTTGTAGGTGGAGGCGTTTCGGAGATTTCAAGGTCAACTTCGTTATATTGAATGGAATGCTATATTTTTTATGCCAAATTATCGAAGAGTGTTGTATTCTGAGTAAAAAAATATTGACCTTTATTAGCTCTAAACCTAGTAATTAACAAATAATTTTACCTCGTTTATTGAAAATGTACGGTGCGTAATATGAAGTTTGAGATTCCGTATCAGCAAAGATTTCCGTGAGGCCGCGGTGTTTACGTGACAATGTTTATCAACACTACAAATTCTGCATGATCGCAATCGCCTATTCTGTCCGTGTTTCAGTATTAAAGTTATCATCAGTGTTTGTACATGATTACCTCAGTAAGATATAAGGAAAACCGAGATTTAATAATAGTGAATTGCATATGGTTTTATTTTATGGTAAGTGTCGTAAAAATGCAACAGGAGTTATAGCTATGTATGCAGAAATTGATCCTGATCGAAATCAGTCATGTCGATGAGATATTCATGAGATTTTGTAAATCGCGTCGAGAACTCGGATGTTGTAATGTTACCAAACGTATTGGTCACCAACGTCAATGGAGCGTTAATGTGTGGCATACGCGGCAATGAATTCATTGGACCATATTTTATCAGTGACCGATTAATGGGACAAAAATATTGGAATTTTTTACGTGATATTTTACCAACTTTATTAGAAAATGTAACATTAAATATCCGTATAAAAATCTAGTACCAACATGATGGTTGTCCGGCACATCACGCACATGTGGCAAAGCAAATGCTGGACTGAGAATTTTCCAATCGATGGATCGGCCGTGGTGGAGAATTTCTGTGGCCACCACGTTCACTAGATCCAACATCGCTAGAGTACTTTTTATGGGGTACATTAAAAGACGTGGTGTATCCTGAACCGACAACAACGCCAGAGAATATAAAAGACCAAATTCGTGAAGCATGTAGTATGCTTGATGCAGAAATAATTCAGAGTGCAGTTTCTTCGTTGGTAAATAGATTTCATCATTGTATTAATGTGAATGGACACCATCTCAAACACATACGTCAGTGAATGGACAAAATCTCACCAAAATCTTTCCTGATATTGAATCTCCGACTTCATAGTACGCACCGTATTTTCAAGAAACGAAGAGCAATGATTCGTTAATTATTAGCTGTAGAGCTAATAAAGGTCAATACTTTTTTACTCAGAATTCAAAATTCCTCGATATTTTGGCCCAAAAAATATAGCATTCCATTTAAAATAACGAAGTTGAAAACTCCGAAACGCCTCCACCTACAAAAGAATTATTTGCAGTACATATTGTATCCCTTTAAACCATGCAACTTTTGTATAAAAAGTTTTTTCGTATAATGCATACTTTACAAGTTATTTAAGGCAAACCTAGCCAAACGTTCGCCCGAGGGGCTACGTAAACAATAATCACACAAGCTCCCACTACTCGCTTGTGTTGTGTTGCCACCCTCTGGCAGGAGGTATGCGCGCATTCTGTGACTGTTCCCACTTTCGACACATTCCCGAAGTCCCTACCCATCAGATTTTAGCGACACGCTTTGACATATTCGTAAGATTCCCATATCTGTGGGGGGCAGCCCAAGCCTTCCAGCGCGTGAGGGGGCATTACAAGATTTCCCATGCATACGGGGGCCCTTCTATGCTAACCAAATGTAATAACTTTCATTTATGTTTCATAAAATTAAACGTATTCTCAATATGTATACGAGATATTAAATATACAAAGATAAATAAAATACAATTTTATAATAATTTCAATGGAATAGCAATATAAAGAATTCACGTAATAATTAAAAATACGATCTGATGTGTTCGACGAGTGTCGATTGGTTTCTGAGGTTCTAATCAATTTAAAGTATCGTGTCGGAGTAAATCTATTTATCTCGAAAGAGGAGGTGGAAGTTTTGGTGGAAAATTAGGCGTTGCTGATGTGTGATTGATTGGGTTCTGTTAGGGCTATTGGATGGAGTAAGGAAGTGGGTGGAGGGTGGTTGTAGATGAGAGAGTGAAAGTAGGAAAGGCTGGTGGAAAAGGATGTCCTGGGGGTTGATATATACGGCAGTGTCGAGTGGTTTACGGTGGTGTTTTCTTGAAGAGGTTTATGGTTTGGCGGAATTTGGCGTGCAGTAAGAAGTACAATTGTTGGACGGTCGGTTGCGAAGACCGTACAATCTAATTTCTAGAATCTCCCTGTTATCTGTTTATTTAATGTCTTTATAGATAATAGGAGATACTTACATGTAATGTGAAAATATTAATATTTTCACAATTTCTTTTCTATTACTTTCAGGACGAAGTAATGATGAATGATATTGAACAAGACTACGTAGATCAAGCAAATGAGTTACCAGAAATGAGACTGGTAGATAACAAAGAAGATATTAAGTCTTTAAACACCGTAGATAGCTCGGACGAATTTCTACCCGATGAAATTAACATAACTGAAAAAGATGAACACGTGTTAGAGTTCGATGTCTCCCAGTTGGTGGACGAAAGCGGTGAATTTAATAAGGGTGATATATCCGAATTAAGAAACATTCTTATTTCAAAACTGCCACGGACAGAACTTGATCAAGAGAAACAAATAAAAGACGAGATACCAAATGAAATTTCAAAAATCTTAGAGTCTGAACACTTAGATTACACAATAATGTATATACCAGAGGAAGACATTCCTTTGGAACATATGAATGCTGAGAATGTACTTTCTTGTGAAACAGAAGCTACCATTAGATTCGAAGATGAGAAAAAAATCCTCGAAGCTGGTACTGATGGTGAGGTCTTAAATACGCCGACAGACAACGAGAAATTTCTAAATGTGGTGTGCATTGAAAAGTCCGAGGAAACAGAAGTTACCGAAAACAACAATGAACAGTCTTGGGAATCTACGATTCCGGAGCGAAGTTCCAGGGGAAAAGTACACGGGACAGAAAAACAGAAAGTTTCATTAAAATTGAAGCCACAGACGGAAGAGAGCGATGACTCCGATTCTGACTATTTCGTTGACCCGAAAGACAATATATTGGGTAGTTTGAACGATACGATCACAAGAATAAAAGAGATAAAACTCGAAAACAATTCGATACAATACCAATGTACTTTATGCCTCCAAAATTACGATAAATTGACTGGTGTCTTATTACACACTATAGACAATCATGTACCAAGCAGTGGACCATTCTTTTGCGTAGTGTGTGAGAAAGATTGTGAAAGTCATAGAGAATTGCGAGCACACGTAAAAACACACACGGGCCAATTTCCATATTCTTGTTTTATATGCAACAAAGCTTATACGATGAAGAGGTATTTAAAGAGGCATATGGTGTGCCATACAGATTTTCCAAGACACCGTTGTCCGAAATGTGGGCTCAGGTTTAAAGTTAAATCGGAGTTGGAGTCTCATATCTCAACACATATACGCGGCGCGCCTTATGCTTGTAGTCAGTGTCCACGATTGTTTAACCACAAGGGCAATTACAAACGACATTTAATCAGTCATTTAGATCCGCAAGGTCTTCATCTACCTAAATACCCTTGCAAAGTTTGTGGAAAAAGATTTCTGAATAATCGCACTCTGGAGACACACATGCGCGTTCATACCGGGGAAAAACCATTCAAGTGTGAAGTATGCGGAAGGTCGTTTTCGCAGCAAGGAAATCTATTGAATCACGTCAGAATTCACTCAAATCCGCGAAGTTACACGTGTGAAGTTTGTGGAAAACGATTCAATCAAAGGGCAACCTTAAGGGACCATAGTTTACTTCACACAGGAGAAAAGCCGTATGTCTGCAACGTTTGCGGTATTGCATTTACATTCAGTGCAGCTCTAAGACGCCACATGTGGACTCATACCGGTGGGAAACCGTTCGGATGTGAAATTTGTGATGCTCGTTTCGTTGGGAAGTACGACTTACGAAGACACATGAGGATACACACTGATAGGCCAAGAGCTAAACGGAGAAAAACAGCGATTAAATCGAACGATGCTCAAGGAAAAGATAAAGAAGAAAGTGTTACGCTCTCTGAGAACCCTGATACGGAAATACGCTCTTTTTAATCTTATACAATACGGCTAATGTAGTTTGTCCTGTATTTTGTATTGTATGCACAGAAGCTTTGGCTTTTGTTTATAAACTTTTTCTGAAAAAATCATGTCAATTCATATGATTCATTTACCATGTGGAAAAATCAATAAAATACTATTAAGTATATTCAGACTCCGGACATTACAATTGATCTTTAAAATATTTGTCGTTATAATGTAGGAGCGTTGGAAAAAATGAAGACCCAATTTCCCTCATTCGAATCCACGACCCCCGGCGCCGAGAGCCGAGGCTTTACACGCTTTTCCACGGAGCCTTCCTTATTTTCCATTGATGTTATTGCTCCTTTTGTTGGGCATGAATGTCCCAATCCCACATTAACAAATGATGGTAGGGAGGTATCAGGAAATATACAGCGGTGAGATTAGTTAGAAATGTTAATGCCTTTAGCAAGACTACCTACATCAGATTCTTAAATTTGAGGAAACAAGACATACGTGTACTTTTATTTAATTAAGTTCTACCTGTTCTAACTGCTGTGCCTCCATCCGTTTGAAGCGCAAGGTAAAAACAAAGCGTAGCGGTGGCCCACCGGACTTCTCCGAAGTTTCCTCTGAGAGGACGAATATCAAATACATCAGGGAAATTATTATTGCACATGCTATTTACAATTGTTTGTTGAGTCTCTTCGAATTAAATCGTATAATGATTATAGTATGAATCAAAATAAAATACAGTTAATTAAAATAAATCAAGATAAAACATAATTAATTTAAAAAAACCAAGGTAAGATACAATTAATTGCAATCAGCTAATAAAAAAAAGGCGTTGCGGACCAATTCGTCGAGTTCGGATAAATGAGATAGCCTTGGAAACCCCCTGGCCTCCATCCACCAATGACCGCCAATGGTTGGTGATGCTGAAAAACGTTGATTAGAACCTAATATATATAAAAAAAAAAAAAAAAAAATCGGAGCTGTTAGTCGAGTTCGGATAGTAGAGAGGACCCCTTGAATCTCCTTGACCAGTGTCCACCAATGGTCAGCAATCGGAGATGAAGACGTGTGAAGACACCGACGAGGTCCGCGGACGCGAGTGAAGTGAGGATTTTCCGTGACGCGCCCGTATTTACGGGCTCGCGGCTACCGTGAGGTCGCGAGTTTGCGCGAATAGATGCGCGAAAATTGAGCGCACCGGAAATTCATATAGAACATCCGGAATAACATATAGAAATCAAGATATACAGAAACTTGCAAGATATGGATCGTTTTATGAACTTTCACGTGGAATAAATTTTATTTTATTGCAAATTACTAAACAATGGCTGTGTCTTTTACTAGCCATTGTTCAGTCTTTTACTTCAGCCATCTATTATTTAATTTGAATGTGCCTTAGTATAGTTTTATACGAGAAATTCATAGAAATTCGTAGCACAGTGAGAACTCTTTAATCGACGTCGGATTGTTATTGTCCTTGAACATGACAGTTACAGTTTTAGGAACAGAATTTTTGGTTTACTTATGGATATTTCTTACAGATCTCTAATATAATGAAACACTGTTCAACACGTTAAATACCTCATATCCGTTAATAGGCGTTTCTGAGACATCGTTACGAACTGAATATGAATCTGTAAATCGTTTTTTCCCTGCGCGTCCAATTTTTGAGAGAAACAATTTTTAATAAATTGTAAGTTATCAAATTTGTAGGTGTGTTGTGCTTTTACAGGCATAGTTATCCAGTTGCTTTTGAGATGACATAATTCTCTGAATTTTTCCGAACAAAATGATCTAAATTGTTATATATTATAGACATCTAAATATATTTAAATAATGATCAGAGTGAAAAGGACACGGAAAAAGTTTTGCTGAAAGTTTTCAATTTATTTGAAAAACAAAGGGTATAAGAGAAAATCCAGTTATAGTATGTGATAGAGCAGATCTTTCTGCTAAGGAAGGTGTCAAGGAAAGTTATAAAATCTATTTTGTTTTCAATAGAGAAGCGAAATAGTTCAGCGAAGCACGCGCCGGCGGCAGCGATACAGAATGACGGCGGCCGCCTTGCTTGCACGAGTTTAGCGTTTAACGCTTTTTTGCCGTTCGGTGTAACGGAACACACTGGCGTTACACCGCAAAGACATGACTTACTCATTATTATATGATTATTTATTACAAAAAAATATTGCAATATTATTTTCCAAATATTTATCAGTATTTTTATTCATGTGTATTTTAGTAATGCACAGAATTACAGAATTAAACGTTGGATAGACAGGAGATAATAAGAGTTGAACGGTGAGAACAACCACGAAAGGTCTTCTGTATGTAAAAATATTGCAATCCGTGCCGAAATCATTCTTCATTTTTAAATGTTTTAAATATTTTATGCACCTCATGACAGAAAAAATCCGAAATGCTGTACTTTTTGAACTTTTTTGAAACAATATTTTTATTTCACTAGAACTTAGGAAGACTATAGGAAAAACATATAAGTTTTGCGTCTATTTAAAATTGATTGCCGTAAGAGTTGTAATAAATAGTCGATATTGTATTATTACTTTGTTAGTACAGAAAAGAGAACAGTAAGAAGATTAAAGTTGTTTCGAAACAACCTAAAAATTTTTCTAGTGTCATTCAATCTCTGATATTAATAACTGTACCGAATAAGAGATAACATATTGTAACATTGTAACATGTTTGTTCCACCAGTTTTTATAGTATATTACTAAAGTTCGTACATTTATATACTGCCCTACTAATTCTTCAAAAATTTTGAAATTATCAGTACCACTTGCACATTGAGCAGTATGATTGTGTAGATTTTAATTGAATGACTCTCTACAGTTCCAAAGATAGATACTTGCACGAATCGATTTAAATGATTCACCCTGCATAGAGTGTGCAAACTGCACATGTGTTTTGTCCTCTAGAATATACGAAATATATAAACATGTAAAGTGCCTTATTATTTCTTTCTGCATTGTAAATGTGTTTCTTCCTTTTTCGTAAAAACTACAAAATTTTATTGATATTCTGTCCACTCATAATACATTGGGTGATTAACAATTTTGCTATTAACGTGAAACGATATAAATATTGTTCTTGGCTTAAATTAAATAAAACTTATTTCACACAACTTGCTTCGATTTAAGATATTTGTGAATATTATGAAAGAAATCGTTTAAGCACATTATTACAAGCTTGTTTTTACATCACTCGATCATTAAGCAGTACATCGTTCACCTTCTGTATCGTATAGCATTATCGTGGTTAAATTTACAGTTAATAATTTCAACGTAAAAATAGATTTGAAGAATGTTTATTATAAAACACGCAGATCAATTCACTTGTTCACAAAACTTAGGACCGCGAAGAACAAAATTCGTGCAGAAGTACGATTTACAGATCGCGGCATAAGATTCGAGATGCATCTGGTTACGTTGTCAACGCACGATTAAACCTTGGTGCGCCGTAATAATAGTTGCGCGTCGAGTGTGTGCGCATGCCGCGCATGCGTGGTGATTTGTTGCCGCTACAGTGGCGCCAGTAATGGCGGCGGAAAACACGCGCGCACGCCAGCACCGCCACCGGGTTGTTTCTCCACGCCTCTACCTCGCCTCCACCACCGCCACCGTTTTCACGACTCGTGGGTAAGTATCGTCACACTCCAATCAGTCTGCACTCGCATGTCCACGAGGTTACTCGTACAGGCTTGGCGCATTCCTCTCGCACTCACTCCTCTATTGCACCTGGCTCACCACGTTTAGTGTATTACTAGAGAGCCGTACCTGAGTGAACCGAGCCACCAGTTGAGGTACTTGTCGGGTATTATTGTTCACCGAGAGGTTAGGTCAGAGTGACCCGTCGTGGCGGGATTACGGACTTGTTTGAATTTGAATTCGCCGCGCCGCATCGTCCTGTTACTCGTCGTCCATCCGGTTTTTAATGCGCGTCAACACAATTAACAAACTTCATACGAGGCGTATCGATGACTGTCGAGCAAGTTTATGGGTTATCGAAGGTTTACGCGACTATCGGAGCGCGTGACAGCCACGCGTTGAGGTTAGGTTTATTCGTCGCCTAATGCGCTCTTTTCGAATGGATCACTGGTGACCTTCCTTGGAAATCGATTTATGCGGTGTTAGTGCAAACAGCTGGTGATAAGGACACGGTTTCTAAGAGACGGATAAGGACTATGAATTCCATGGAAAAAGTGTGAATATTTTCGGACGGTTGTATTTCGTGCGGTGACTTCTTCGGTGATCAGCAAAATGTACGCGTATTGGTGATTAAAACATATATACACGCGCGCGCGCACATATACATTAATATCAGATGTTTATTTATATACTGTTTCATATATACACTATACACACACAGCAGTGTAAATACTTTTGATCTTATTCGTCACCGGTGTTGACAATGTGCTCAAAATTACATTAGCCTGTTGCGTCGTTGCATTTCGGGTGTTCAGTACTTTCACGTATTTTTTGCAAATATTTGAAATAATTTAATCTTTTTAAAGAGAAACATCTTTTTAAATAAAATAGCTACCGAAACAGGGAAAGCAATATTGTTTTACTTGACAGTATTCAAAATTGGGTTGAAATCTTGAATGTTCATAAGTTTGTAGTCATATTTAATATAATATAATCATTTTTAAACGGGATATGTTTCTATAAAGAAAAATTTGGGAGAATTTTAATACCTTCCGTTGAAATTGATTTGTAGTAATAAAGAGAGAATTTATAGATTATGCATCTCATCTTTCCTAAAAGATATAACTCAACTTGATAGAAATTAAGTTTTTGTTAAAGTGCATATTATCTGTCAACTATACAAACATTAATATATACAGTCATGTACTTTACAGAAATTAAATTAAGATTTAGAGAGATTAATTAAAATAAATGTATTGCCCACAATTGTAGAGGCAATTACTAAGGAAGACGATTAAGAATTCGATGAAAATTTAATGGATCATAATGAGCTTAGAGAAAAAATTTGATTCTTGATAGTGAAATCTAAAACCATTAATTTTTTATTTAGAGATCACCTTAAAGTCGTATAGTTTGAGTACTACCATAACTTTCAGTTTGCATTTATCGAATGAAGCATGTTGCCCCACAACATTACCATGTGATAAACAGTCGGCAGCAAATTACTAATTTTTTGGTTACCTATACATATACCTAAATCAGTCTGAACACCCGCGGCAATACGAATTTTTCGACTCTTCGAGTTCTTTTTATAACGCGACTCAACAAGTACTTCTTCGCATTCTAAACTTATTTCGATATAAGAGAAGAAGAAGCTGATACAAACCCGATCGATGCAGTTGCTCATGGATCAAATTCGATAGCTGTCGTTGAAACACAAGAAGGAACAGAAATCCAAGTCATTTGTCGGTCGAGTCGTTAACTATATCATACTTGAATTGTCCTTAAATGTAGCTAATTAATATGTTTAAAGTCTTCACCGTCTACACTTTTAATATTCTTTTTTGAGCTTCCCCAACAAAGAAATACTATCTAGGAATGCATAACTTTTTACTTCAGATGGAATTTCAAAGTTTTATGATTTATAACGGGCTCATATAGTGATACACTATGTGTTAATTAAACTTATTAATTACATCGTAATCGTTACCCAATTTCATGGACTTGTATATCTGAAACTTTTACTATCCCCGGTATGAAGTACTTGAACAGACAAATTAATATGGCCATTAGGAAGATTACTTATACACTTGTTAGAAGGGGAAAATGTATTTTACTAAAATATCGACACTGTAATAAATGTTTTTACAAATATCATTTCTTTTGTCAATTTCTTTTATCAAATAAACTATAAAAGTTATGTATATAATACCAGAAAGTCTTGAGACTGTATTTTTAATTTATTTAAAATTTTGTAATAATAACGGTGATCTAGATCTTTTTCCATCAACTTGAGATGATCGAACATTTTACAAAAATATTCAGTTCATTATTTCCTGATTGTGCAAATAGGCAAAAATATGCATTAGTATGTTTAATATTTTTTACAAATATCATTCGTCTCTTTATTTCAGTTCTACTACCACTTAAATTATTTTGGTCCGTTACATGAATAGATTTAATTGTATGTGGATACTTCAAAAAATGATCATTATGGTCTTTTTACCCCATGCATTTCTTAAGGAAAAATATTCTATCAAAACCACAAATAATGTTTTATCCTTGAGTATGACTTAAAACATTCAAGTATAAGTATAGAAAGCTGAGTTTCATTTTAATTCATCATTCGTTTTAATTTATTTTCCATACTTTCATGTAGTTTTTCGATAAAAGCAAGTAAAACATCGTAAAACGTGGGACTAACTTTAAAATTAATATACAAGTGACGACAACTGTTAATCATTTCCACTCATAAAAGTGTAATCGAATTATTAATATTTATCCATAAAAACGACATTTCATATGCAACAACCTAATATAATTGTTAAACGTATTAAAAGTATGTATTTATAATGAGATTATAATAATAATAATAGTGAACTGGGATAGAGACGTTATGGTTATTTTATCAGGATAATCTTACAATGTACTACTAGATCTTACATTTTTTGGCAATTTTACGCACTGTTCATCTATTCGGCACTAGTGTTCGTTCATGTCTAATTTTTCGATGATTCGTGCTGCGATAACCTTTGGAGAAAAAAATATCGCGATTCCGTTAACAGATCTTGCGTGTAAATCGGAACGTTTGAAAGATCCATAGAAGATTGAGAAATGGAACACGTCGATATCTGTTCTAGATGGATAATTCTGCGTACGTGCCAAATCATCTACCGCCACCGTCTCTGGTTGTGTTTTCACAGTCTGGGGGGCTACCGGAGGCTTTGAGAATGCAAAGACCCTTCAATCCACAAGTTAGTGTCCTATTATCCTTACCTATACGTTTAAAGCCTGTGTTTGCTTCTACTCCTCTCTGTTTGCTTACACGTGAACCTGGTGAAAATAATATTTATAACAGGACATATCACGGCGACGATTAGCTTGATCTCTTTCCTTCGCGACGGCCGAGTTCAGCTGTTTTAATTCCTTAATTCCTTCACCGTTGTTAGCATTATTAAGACGTCTCCTATTCCTGTTTCGAATATTACTCTGACCAGTTTCATCCATGCGATGTAGTACATGAGAAATAGTTTTATGTTGTAAGAAGGTGGTTTCAATGTTCCTTGGAATTGACACTTTCCGAATGAACAAAAATTTCTATACAATGTGTATTTATGATATGTTATTATTCGGCAGTGTCTGAGATCCAACAGCTATTCAATATAATTGTTGATTGGGTGCATGAGAAATATCGAAGGGAAGTGATCGTTACTCGAAAATTGGATGAGATAATTTTGTGTTAGAATACCAAAAGCGGTTTTAATCAGTGTTACGTTTTCATTAAAGCCGCTTGCATAGCGAAGCTTTTATGTTTTTCATAGTTTATTGCGAATTCATTTTACCCCACTATCGTGGTAAATAACAAAAGAAAACCGCCCTAATCTTTATGCTTCGAAAAATGTCAATTCCAATGGGCCAGCAGCAGATGCAATCGCTTCGGCCGCTTGTTGCTTTATGCACGCCACTGGTAATTAATACACGCTTTGAATGGAGATTTTGTTGCATGTGATCGAACGAATGTATATGCACGTACAAATTTAGTGGTAGACAAATATGTACATTACTATAGGAACTGTTGGAAAAAGTCAGACAACCAAAATCTCTCGAACAGTATGGATCGTCGTAAGTATTGGATGTAATCACACTGAATTACGCAAGCTTTTGACAATTATCATTACTTTTCGGTACAATTTTTAATGGATTTTTAATTCAATATACATAGTCCTAGTGAACGTAAAACTTGCTGCATACACATGAAAACATTTAGGAGCAAATTGAACACTCAATGTTTTTAGTGATAATTTGTAATCCTGAATGTTTGCAATCGCGTTTTTTACGAACTTCAAACACACAGCAAAAAAATTCCAAATACAGCATCAGTATAAAGATATCAGTTCGTTACTTATACTCGCACTTACTGAAGGTCTAATGTACCTGTAAGGACAAAACACTATTCAATTTGAATACATGCCGAGCATGTATGTTTTTAAAGTGTTGATTAACGAATCCATTTTAAAACATGTCACAAAGCTATATGATGATATTATGGACACCAATCGTAATGATACGTGGAATAAAAATGAAACCTTGCTGCCTTTCGAGACACGTACGTATCGATCGATTAAAATAGGATAATAAAACGCAGCAGCGTATCAAACTACGGTGCCAATAAAAAATGAGATAATTTTATTGGAAATGAATCGCGGTGGAACAACGAATTTTGCATACGTTTTTATTCGATGCACAATCGTGAACGGAGACGGGTAGAATTTTAAAGTATTGTCAATATGAAAAACCCATAGTCATCGATCGAGCATAGGCCGTTGGTGGGGAAAAACTGCCATACTCGTGGTAGCCGCTTGTAATTAAGATAATAATGAATACCTAATAAATCACTGATTGAACGAAGGTAGGAATACAGGGAGCAACAAACGAGAAGTTCATTTCCTGGCGTAAAAGAATAATAAACTAATCGTTCCGTACTAATTCCCGTACAATTCATCGGCTACATCATTATCGATTCAATGAAATGTTTATCCGGAAATTCAGAAATCTATTGGCACCACATTTCTACCAACGATTTTTCTCTTCGTTCTTTTTCGTTCGGTGTTCCGTTAAAAACTGCATTAAACTTGGCCATAATTAAGAGCGCAAAGTTTATGCTACAACATGTTTTCAATAATATTTCAATTGAGGTGGTGCAATGCGACTAATTAATTTGCAATTCGTTACTACTTACTCGGGAATGTACATCACAATATTTGTGTAAGATTTCATAATTCGGCTGAACTTTATCCAGCCTTCATAAACATTAAATCATTCGTAAAAAAGTTTTTATTTATACATGAAATAAATAAGACAATACGTGCTGCGTTACGTACACAAAACATCGGAATTGATAAAAATACCCCAGGTGACGTAAAAATGTAAAGAAATTAATTAAAAGATTTTCTGGGAAACAACAAACACAGTAATAAAATGTATACAACTGGAAAGAAAATAATAAATCTAAAAGAACAAGGATCAAGGACAAGGTGTATGTCAGAAAAAGTTTGTTATCAAAGCAAGCAGTATTTTTTAAAATACTCACTGCGATTTATAAAATTAAACATATTTCGTAAATGGTAGAGTTCTAAATGTCTATTAGTACAGCAAAATGATACGAGGCTGAACGGAACAGCTATGCGTGCGTGAATATTGATTTGATACTGCGTAAGCATTGTTCAAATATCATCATCCCATTTTCGACCAGTAATAAAGAGGAACGTTTCTATTTCTATTTAAAATATCACGGGTGTTTTATAGAGACACTGAATTTTGAGATAATAAGAATGAGAATAAGGCAATTCTGCAGGATTTTTCAGTATAACTTAAAAACTGTACTTGTTGATGATAAAAACTTAAAATTCGTAGAATTATAAAAATGAATATTTAACAATGTAACACGGATCAGTTTCTATTTGCCGTTTGAAATTCTGACGTATTGCCAACAGAGGTTGGTTAATGCTGAATTACAGTCAACAAATATTCTAACTATAACTGAATTAATTTTCACAAATTACCTGTTTTTACATATCTTTATTGCATAGTAATATGACAGGAAATAAATGCGGCATGTCATATCTTTCATTGGATAAGAAAAACCAGTTATTTCCGCGGACATTACTGTATTTGAAAAGATAGGGAAATGACAATTTGAATATAGGGAGTAGACTGGAAAACATATGCTTGAAACTTCAAGTATCCGTACAATTTTTTGAATGGCACTACAAAAATTTATTTCGGTGGTAGTCCTGGAGATTTCAGTTACGACTGAATATTATCATAGGTATATTGGAAGTAGGTACATACGATGGTTTGGAATTGTTTCCTCTTGTCTTTAATTCTGATTTAGAGAAAATTTAAATTCTGCTTCAGTTTTTTTTTCATTAATCTCGACGTAGAATCTTATGTAAGATTGGAACTATTTGTGTGAGATGGGAACTATTAAATATTATCTAAATATTTAATAAGCATAGTAATGTTAATATGGGTTTGATGAAAATCCGATATTTCAGGCCCGACAAAATTCGTGGATAAAACTTATCACATTATATAACTGGGTATCTCATTTGCAGCATGCGGGTATTCGTATGCATTGGAGCACATTGAAATAGCGTATAATACCAAAGCAATATGGCATTATACTGTTAATAATGCGAAACCACTGTGTTATAATAATCCGTCAAAACTTGAAGCTTTCCCCCGTCAATTGTATCATTCTATTCGCCGTGATTGACGAGTCTATTAAACTGGCGTAGTGAATGCTTCGATGGAAATCAACGAGTTCTGTTTTGTAACGTTTATAAGAACGAAACATTAGCGGTAATATCATCATTGTCTGTATAATGGACAACGGTTAGATTGAAATTCTTATTAAGTTTAACATTCGAACTACCAAAGCAGTCACAATAGTTGGTTCGTACGCTCCTATAAAAATTATTGAAATGTTATAACAGTGTATTTTTTGAGATTCTTCGAAACCTTTATTGCAATATTTATTACAACCGAAGAAGTTCGTTAATTTATCGATTTACATATTTTCAAGAAATTGTCCCTTTTACCAACGTGTATGAATAGAGAAGCACGTTCATTTTTGGAAGTTCTTGTGTTATCAGGCATTGTTGGATTTTATAATCTACAAAATATAATATATGCAATTTCATTCGGCCTATTATTATTTATCCTAATAAAAACACTTATAATCAGTGCCGAGGAGTATTCGCACACTCAACGAGTATTCTCTATGTTGCCCTGTTCCTACAAGTATAGTATTCTTTCCCAATAGTGCGGGGTACAGGGCTGTAGGGGAATATTTTTTGAAGAAACGCGATCCTGTACCAGTAACCCTCGACATTTCAAAGCAAAAGCAACTACCTTTTAGGAGAATCAGTTTTGAACTGACTGCTAGCTCGGTTGTTTATTCATTGCACTCCATTTCTACGTATTGCCGGTACGAACACACGCTTTACAGATGAATCTTCAAATTCAGTTTTCTCAAAAACTAAGCCTCGGATAAAGAAATTCTATTGTATATTTGCGACTTATTTTTTCACTAGAATCACGCCCCTCCTCGAATTTACCACCCGTCCGGCCAGAACCTGTATACAGGGTGGAACAAAAATGTTGGAGGACCCGGAAATTGGAGACTCGTGAGGTGATTTGAAACAAGTCTTTCCTTAGCAAAAATGTTATTCGAGGCTTTGTTAACGAGATATTTACAAAATAATCACTGTATTGAAATCGCTGGATCGAAGTTGAGGGGCATCAGTTCGAACACAGCTTCCAGATAGTAAGTACGTATTAAAAATTATTTTGTAAATATCTCGTTAACTATTAGGTTTAGGACGTATGAAGGCCAACACATTTTTAGTCAGAATTTGATATTCTATCGATCTATCGTGACCTTGAAATAATGATGAAAATTGCGTACTTCTTACTGAAATTTTAAACATACAAAAATTTATGACAAAAGAACGACGTTTTTTATGAAAAATTGCTGGCAGTCTAAAGGTTAATGAATCTATTACCATAGATGGCCACTTTTATTCAGATTAAAAATCTCTTTTTCCGTTTGTATTTCAAATAATTCTGGTGGAACATTTCAACGCCAGAAACCCCCAATTTGTTTTCAACTCCTCCTGTTCTGACGCACAAAAATTTAGAACAATAGTTAAAGATGTCGAACAGTTTATGTACAAAAAGTACATGTACTTTACAGCTCTAGAAGGTAGAATATCCCTTTAAGGCAACGAAACGTCGTGCTGCTTACCATATCTAACTTTCTCTGATTTGTTTCACCTAAACTACTCTCTAAGTCATTGATAACCGAAGGACTCAACGTGGTCTTCCGCCACAATGCGCCGCCGGTATATCAAAGTGGATATCGTTTACATTATTCTGTGGACGATGTTATAGTTTTTGGAAAATAAAAAAAAGTATAATAGAAAACTTTCTTATTTTAGTGCAAGCTGAACGAGTTGATAGTTTAACGTGGTTAACACTGGGTCGTGACGTAGCTAACGCGTCTGTTCATTGTATTCCGTTTCTACTTACCTATTATGTGTATTGAAGTAAACGTAATGGAACCTGTACAATTTTCTTCATCTCATAACTTTTGAACCACGAATTTCCCACACCTCAGACAAAGTGCACGTCGCTCAGAATCCTCTACAGTATATCCGGAATTCAACAAGAATTGGAGTTGAGGCCCTCTGTTCCAGATAATTACCGTCCTTCGAAAATTTAATATTGAATCTAATGACATTACCTTGTTGCAATTTCATAATCTCTAATGCGTAATATTTTGATGTACAGGTGACTGATTCGAAGGACCTCCAAGTGCCGTTCAGTACCGCAGCTTCTCTTGGCTACGGCCTCCATCATATGCTCCACTTACCGCCGCAATTTTTGCACCCTTTGGATCACCGTTTGCCGTTCGGTGGATTCCGGCCTCTTGGGCCATCAGCCTTTGCTCCACCGAGCAAGTGCCTGAAAGTGGAAACCGGAAACGGACCTGTAACAAGCTCCGGATTGCCTAGTATCGGTTCCCTTTCGAATATATCGAACATGTTTTCGCCGTCGTCTCTGTGCTCTGCTGGTGGAAGCGCGGTAGTGTCTGTTTCTGGAGCGACGACTAGTATCGGAGGTGTTGGAGGAGGTGCGAGTACCGCGTCAGGACAAGATATCGCGCCGCAGAGTCCCGCTGGCTCTACGAGTCGATCACCCACCGGACCCGGAACCGGATCGGTTACTAATCGCGGCACCACTCCCGAAGAAGAGGATCGTGACACTAATGCTACACCAGGCTCCGAAAATACTGAACGCTCCACGCCTGAAGAAGGACGACCTTATCGACGTAAGTTTTACCCTCAGTCACACTTTCCGCTTATTACGTTTTATTGTTTTTCTACCGCTTATCTTTCCACCAACCGTTCGTTTCTTTTACCTTTTTGAAATTTATGGTGCAACGTTATTGCTATTAATTAGTTCGAAATTGATTTATAGCGAGATCTGTAGTAGTACATCCTTATTAGTATTATTTATTACTAATTCAATTGTATGCAATAACAATGTACAGAGACATACACGCATCTGGCAATGCTAAAATAATTCGCTTTAACTATCATAGAGATATATTAATATATATAATATTTATAATAATTAATATAAATGATATTTATATTAATTTATCTAAATAAGTATTAAGTAAATACTAAACATTAATGGATTAAGTACCGCGAAAGTTTTTAATTCACTCGTATGGGGTGTACTGTTTTGAGTAGTTCTTGAAAGTAGAACTCATTTTTTGCAGTGTCGTAGGTTCTAAACTATTTACGAGAATTTGCCACGAATAATTCTCATTGTCCGTACCACATATTCTTTCATATGTTGCCCACAAACCATACAAAGTAAATTTTCCTACCAGAACAGTGGAGTATAATTAATGTTTCTCCTCGTTACGCGTTACCATTACATTTATGCTGATTATATTCCTTGGATTTTATAATTCTGAATAGTATCAAAGAATTTCATTAAGCCCAAATTAAGTTGTGCATGCAATTGATGTACAAATGCCTATAAAGTACTCAAAGCGGGCGAAAATTTCTCAGGTATGTTGTTTAAGATACCTGAGTACCTAAATATTTTAGGTGTCGTAGAAATTATTTTATACTGTAGGTCTGGGTTAGGTATGCCTATTCGGCAATAAAATCAAGTACAATTACCAACGATGTAATAAATGCAATTATTCATTATTACCTGCCTCGTGCATACATGTAATAACTTTCTTATGTATATTTGATAATTATTTAGCATTCTATCGCCATCTTGGATTTCGATGATTTTCTAATATACTGTAGTAATCAACATTTTCAAAGAACTGTAGATACCACTACTTTCCTGTTTAGGGTACGTGGTCAACAATGGGTAGTGTGTGGTGGGATATTGGGTGTATGGTTAACACTAGATGGTGACTTGGTTAACGCGTCTGTTCATTGTATTCCCTTTCTACTTACTGGCAGCACGAATACACGGACAAACGTTTTTTGTTAGTAACTTTTTAACCAATAACGACCAACGGTTAAAACATGCTGAAGGTCACTTGGGTTTGTGACCTTAACAACATATGTCAAGGGCAAGGTCATTGAATGTGGGCCCCCTGAACAGCAGACTTACTTTCACTGTAATGGTACCGACAGTTTCTTGCGAATATCTCGTAAACTAAAGCGAACCGGCGATAACGTGCAAAGGAAAAAGTTCAAAATGTTTTATTTATACAACATATTAGAAAGTCATCGAAATCCAAGATGGCGGGGGCTTTCGAAATAATTACCGGACACTTTTTAATGTCGCATACTCAACGATTTTTTTAGTGTCAATTCTAATTGTGTGTAGAATTAATCTCCTGCTTTATAATACCGCGTGAGACTCGTGATAGATTTTATGGGCCAAACATGAAAGAGACGCGTCTGGTTCGAGGTATGATTATCGAGTCAAACATAAGAAACATGTGTCCGGCTCGTTGTTCTTCTTTTTTAAGCGTATATCTCGATTGACATTGGTCCAAGCTATTGTGGGGAGAATTTTTATGCTGGGTTAGTAGTTGAGACATCAACACGATACACGACACGCTTTCCAGTACCCAGTAGCCCTGCAATGATCTATCTCGCTTACACCCATTACGCGGCTTTCTTCTTCTGTGTTTGCGGTTAACTAAGTTCGATGAGATAATTATAAAAGAAATACTATTCCCCGCTATGAGATACTAGACGGACCCGAACAAAAATTTCAAACAATACGTTCTTAGTCATTATGTGCTTTTCTGTCTATTTAATATTTTCACGATATGCGGCCTGAGTGTAGAAATACTCTTTTTTTGTCTACTGTAGGTATATGATAATCAACATTCTATGAAAGAATATACTTTTATGAATCCATGAAGAAGTTTTCTTTATATTTCATCTACGTTTAAAGATAGTTTATTACAGTTACGTATGTTTATCATTATATGAACGGAAGAACGTTTCGATACTTATAATACATCGGCCGTAGGATTTCATACTTTCTAAGTTGACAAACGCTATATAGACATAGAACAACTGAAACATATATAGGAATCTGCAGAGGAAAAACGACGGAGATTTGTATGCTTAATCTACCCAAGTCGTTTATTTGAACTCCCAGGGCCGTAACAGCTGTGCCACGTCTGAAGGCACATACAGAGCTCGCTTCCATGTGTTTGCTTATTTTTCGGTATAGTCTTAATTATTAAAAGATAGAGCCATTCATTTTTCTTTGGCTAAAATTTCGTGACGATTGTTTTTTTTGCTTCTCTTTCTCAGGCTTAATGTTCCACGAGCATTTTTCATTCCTGAACTTTCGTTACCTCCTTTTTCACCCTCGAAGAATCGTCCTTCCGTCGGCTGAGAGTGCGCTTTGTAAATTCTCTCGTGTAAAAACCGACGAAAAATGCGTTGCGGTCGAGATTCGTGTATCATTCTCTCTCTTTCTCCCCCTCCCTATCCCCCTCCACCTCTCCCCTCTCTTTCGTCCTGCTCATTGCAAAGGCTAATTTTCGTTTGATTGCAAGATGAGAAAAAAAAGGGTTGGTAAAGGTCGAAGGCGCGAAACCTGGTCGTCAGGCAGCCTTTTAGTTTAGTTTTTTACGTGACTGACGCCAAAATAACGATGTCCTTTGACTGTGACAATCGCTATGTAGCCTTGTTGTTAATTAGGTGACATTCACTTTGTGACATCACGTAAGCATTACACAGGGAACTTAACGTTGCATAAAATTCTGTTTGTGTGGTCTTCTGTCACTTTTGAAATAGCAAAATACCAAAATAATTCCATATTCGAAATTGCTATTATTTCAAATGAATCGATAACATTTTTATCTTTAAATAACAGTATTTAAAATGAAGTTCCGAAATAAATTATTTCGCATAGTTAATTCTTATTTTCATTTCGAATCAAATTTGCCCAGTTCTCGGCTGTTACTAATGATAGCAAAAAATATGTCAGACCAAACTTGCATGGTATCGAGGAGCACATACTTCAATGTGAATAGTTTTTTGATAGGTGGACCTGTGGAAGTCATATGAAGGTCAACTTCGTTTTTTTAAATGGAAAGACATATTTTTTTTACACACTTCCATAAAGAGGTTATTGTACGTGTCTTAATACGTTTTAATAAATGGTACGTAAAACAACATGGCCTATTTTAGGTGCCACACCCGGTATAACACTGTTCATTGCATAAAATACCTTATAACCGGCAATGGGTGTTTCTAATAGAACTTTACGTGCTGAATACGAATTCGTAAACCGTTTTTCCCAGCACGTCCAGGTTTTGAAAAAATAAGTTTTTTTAAATGCAAATTTTCAACTGTTGAAGTATTTTGTGCTTCACAGTAATAGTTATGCAGTTGCTTTTGACACTAAATAATTCTATAGACTCTCTCAAACAAAATGATGAAAATTGTTATTATATTATAGACATCTAAATATGTTTAAATAATGATCAAAGTTAAAAGGACACTGAAAATGCACCAATTTTTCTGATATTCCTACATTTATTTAAAAAACTAAGGGTCTAGGAGAAAATATAAACATAGCATACGATAGAACAGACCTTTCTGCTAAGGAAGATGTCAAGCGAAGTTACAAAATCTGTTTTGCCTTGCCTGCAAGCGTTTAGCTTCCGTTATGCTGAGTGGCAGGCTAGGAGTACCACTGCCGCCGCCGTGTGTTTAGGGAAACTATGTCGCTTCTCTATTGAAAACAAAACAGATTTTGTAACTTCGTTTGACATCTTCCTTAGTAGAAAGGTCTGGTCTATCGTATACTATGGTTAGATATTCTCCTAGAATTTTGAAATAAATTGAGGAATATCAACAAAAATTGGTGCGTTTTCGGTGTCCTTTTGGACCTTATCATTATTTAAGCATATTTAGATATCAATAATATAATAACGATTTACATCATTTTGTGCGGGAGAGACGATAGAATTATTTTGTGTCAGAAACAACTGAAGAACTGTTACTGTAAAATTACACCATGCCTCCAACGTTAAAAATTTGAATTTTTCAAAAACAAGACGTGCTGGGAAAAAGCGGTTTACATATTCGTATTCAATTCATAAAGATCCAATAGAAAAGTCGATTTAACGGTTATGAGGTAGGATAAAAGTTAAAGTTTGTCGAACAGTGTAATCAGCGCGTGGAGTTGAAGAATTTGCGGGGAAAAGCGTGAAATGATCAGCAAATAATTTGATCTGTTGTACGCCCGTGGGCCGTTTCGATGTATTTTAAACACAGCGATGCATCGTTTTGCTCATACAGCCGTTCACCCTTTTTGGTAGCTACATCGAGAAGGGGCTGGAATATATCAATACCTACGCATGAAGTATGCTCATTATCACGATCGACAGAGATTCATGGTAAATACTCATTGGCTGTACCATTCGTGAATTTACACTGTCATTATTTGATTCTAATGGCATAGGAAAAATGACCGCTATTATTAGCATGGCACAAGAGACCGCGTAATTAGGTATGGAATTTTTTATTCTTCGAACGTATGGATTATTTATTATAGACAGTCGGACGATTGGAATATTTTCTGTCTTTCATCTTTGTCAGTTAAAATACTGTTTATTGCGTTCTGAAGGTTTTCCAACACGTTGGCATCCATTGTCGCAGATCTGCTTCATGGGTAGGGACTTAAAGGTGTGAGTTTTTCTACATATGTGTGCAGAGTCTACGTGGTCACGGCGAATCGATGAAAAAAGACGTCATTATTTGCTTACTTATGTTAGACGATTCTTCGGACGTCGTGATATGCAGTAACTAATCA